CTAATTTGTAGAACATATCTTCAATCCTCTTATTACAATTAAATGTATTACATATGCAAACACGTGCAGGTACTTTATTTGGGTATTTACTCTCTCGTCATTACATTGCAGAGTTTGTAGATCGTGTGTTTATATTTAGAATCTTTTTGTGACACTCATTAAATATAACTTATTGCGTTTTACGATAAGTAATCTTGTACATACAAGTACATTCCTATATTACGTGCTCATATTTAGCATTTTACGAGACTTGTTGAAATTTATTGCATTTTAAAAGGAATAAATAAAGATAATATGTAAAAAGTATGCATCTAATAACATAAGAAACTGGTCGCTGTCCTGTTTCTGTTAGTGGTAAAAAAAAGTAAGCAAATGCATACATCGTTTGAATATAAATTGCATATCGGGTTTACAAGAAATCTACAGCCACGAGCGCAGCATGTGTTTTTCTACAAACTCGCGTCGTGTTTCGGCATTTCTTTTTGTGTGCAAGACGATCCATTACGAATTAACAGTGACAAATAAATAATGGCAATATTTCGTGAACAAAATTATAATTTGTTCATATTCAAAAATACACTATCGTGAACACGACGTGGTGCAATCTACGTTGAAATATCTGCAATAAAGAAGCAGATATGTAGGTACTATTATATTTACTCGCAAAGTTTTTCATCGCGCTGAGTCCCGATAGTGTATTTAAATTTCAATAAACAACGCGAAAGTAAAAAATTAACTAAAACTTATAATTCTCATATGGTCGATAAAGATAATCATAAAATAAAAGTTCATTTTGCTACGCATATAGTGACTTCAATTAAATACACATACACCGATGCAGCACGACAGGTTAGGTACCTAGATGTAGTACGTAGATGCTTTACAATGAATGAATATTTGAATTTGGAACGCGGATTTGAATTTATATAATATTTGTCTTCGTAAGAAACAGTCTTTTGCTCTGTAGACTTAAAGATCTATTAAAAACCAGTCAAATGCTTATGGACTCGCGCACCGATGGTTCTGTACAAATTTATATAATATTAAATTAAAGAAAATATAATAAAAAAAATTGCAAAACTTTTCTTTTCTTCCCTATACTTCATTCTTCCACATTCGATACATATGATATTGTTTCTAGCTAAATTTCGTGATTTTAGGTCATCGGGAAGTGTCCTACAGGTTTTAATTCCATTGTAAATCTCAAAATATTAAACGGTCGTATATTTTGATAGCGTTATTTATGAAGTTTGATTTCTTCACAGCTCCAAGGGATTGCTGTTTTGAGTAGCTGATATTAATTTCCGTGACATGTTTTTAAGGAAAAGGGGTTTGACAGATGATACAGACGATAAGGATTCTGTTTTCACTTTTGAAGTACGAAAGATGTTGGTAATTATTACAAAGAACGAAACGAATTTAGAATCCTTTAAGATTCTAAATCTTATAAATTGCTAAAAATGAGACTAAAAAATATCTATATTTTTTTATTTTAAGCAAACTTAGATTGGCAAATAAGCTGACGGCCTACCTGATGGAAAGTGGTAATTGTCGCCTAAAGACATGAGCAGTATCATAGACATAAGAGAGTATACATTTTTGCCCGTGATACCCCCCATGCGTTGCCATTCCTGAAGACTCAAATGTTATTCTTTTGTAACCTGTAAATTCACTGCCATATCCCACCCTTCAAATCGAAACACAGCCATGCAAACACAACTGTTTCACGGTAGAAATACGAATGGGACAGAGGTATGTAATTACAGTCTGATAAGTATACTCGTAATTAATGAAATTACAATGCGATATTGATAAAACTTACTTAATACTTATAGTTATCGGTAATTTATCTTTATTGTAGCGAAAATTAAATAACATGTCTGTATTAAATTGTAATTTTAGACAGTATTTAAATGGGTATTAAATTTACAGTAGGTACATACGTATGGGTACTTACTTCTTATGCACGAATATTACATAAAAAAAAATTGTCTACATTTTTTCATGTATTCTTAAATTTATAGGTACATAATAGAGCTGGGACAATTTTACTGAACTAGGACTTAATGACAGCAGCTTGGACTCCAATGTGCTAAACAAACATTCATATCTATTAATTATTATTTATCAGATACTAATTATAGGTATTATGTCAGATTATTATTAACATTATTATTTGTGATTGGATCTTTTATTCACAGCTATATCATGTTGCCATGTTGTGCGTAGCTTATTATCTAATGCTTTAAATTAGACATTTTAATTTAATGTTTCTATTTAATTAAGCGTTTTGTTACTTCTAAATGGTTGCATAGATTCATTTTCCAGTATTGTCAATATATGGACAATGCCTACATTTAATTTATATTATTATTTATTCTGTGATGCGTTCAAATAATATTTTTTTTTTAATATCCAGTCTTATTTCCTATTTGTTAGTGGCATATTGGGCAACATTAGTTTTTTGTCAATATTAAAAAGATTTTTTTTTTCGAGGCAAATGAAAATGATGGCATATGACCAAATCCATGGACACTAGCAACACGATGCGTACGGCCTTTTAATAAATACCTATTACATGAGTATTATGTTTATGTAAATACCTGTTAGACGCTAAAACGAAATATTATATCTTATTACTTATTGAATGTTGTAAACTTGTTTGAATGTTTGTTACGAAATTACGTTAACAGTTGATTAATTTTTTTTATAAAATTTGACTGAATTTGGCACACGAATATTATATAAAACATCTGTAATTTCTTTAATCGCTTGTATTTACTTAAAAATTTTAATATAGGTACCTTATTGTAATTGTAAAATCTTTATTGTACATAATTTAAATTGGATACATTAAAAGATTTAATATACAACGGCGGATTTATTCCATAGAGGGATTTCTTACAGTCAATCTTAGAGAATAGGTACTGGTTAATGATATATTAATATAATTGTCATGTAGATAGACTTTTTAATGGATGATAATGGACTGGTAACCCCGCTCGTGCTAACGGTATATGCTGGCGGGGCACCAGTGAGGGATGATAGGTGAAAACGAAAAGGCAGGTTAACTAGCTGTACACCTGGAATTCAGCACAATGGTTTCCAGAGGGACCATGTGGAAGTGGACTTGACAGGGTATATTGCTAGCAATGGAATTGGTTGTCCGTATTGCTAACAATCCCTTCCCTCTGTAGTATTGTACTGAAGATCTATCTCTAAAATTATAATTATAATATAAAAAGTCTAATAAGATTTCAAATTTCAATAGATTTATATACTAAACGCGTAAATTGGCAATGTGGTTTCGTCATAGAATGTATGGGTGCCGTAAGAGGTCGCCTCTTAAGGGAGGAAGAGGGATGGGCAACAGTATCCCTCTTAAAACATTTCTAATGTCTAACTGTGGTTGCCAATCCGCCTGCTAAACGTGGCAATTACTGGCCAAACCCCTCAAAGGGGAGGCTTATGTTCAGCAGTGGTCAGTTAAAGGCTGATATGATGAAGATGAAACGCGTAAATACTATTTTATGAACCACTCTTATAGTGGTGGTTTTATAGAAACTACTTGTATATTTTTTTTATGGGTGAAAATGGAATGGTAACCCCGCCTGCGCTAACGGGATATGCTGGCGGAGCACCAGTGAAAGGTGATAGATGAGAATGAAAACAGGCCAGTTAGCCCATCATGATGAATTCATCAGGAATTAACCATGATAGTTTCCGGGAGGAACCGCGAGAAGGTCGACCTGGTTGGGTATATTGCTAGCAATGGGATTCTCAATCTCCATTACTAACAATCCCTTTTCCCCCCACTACTCGTATATTAGGTATAAGAGTTTATTTTGAGTACCCTCGTCTTTCGCGTTCATTATATTTTTTTTACCGGCTTCAGTAAAGTAGGAGGTTCTATGTTCGATTTTAAATATGTATTTTTAGTTGCCTTTTATTAGGGCATAATACACAACTACGCATGTATGTCAGGATCGTGTTATATTTGGAGTTATGAAAGTGGAAACGATATAGTGTCTCACTACTAAAATTGAAAATTGTCTATGGCACTTTATATTTTAGGATCAAATTTTTTTTTATAGAATATAAAATGGACTTTTTTTTTAATGAATGATAAGGGAATGGTAACCCCACCCGCGTTATCGGTATACACCGGCTGGGCACCAGTGAAAGATAATAGGTGAGGATGAAGCAGGTCAGTTAGCCCATCGTGACGAATTCAACAAGAATTGTTCACGATGGTTTCCAGGGGAAACCACGTGAAGGTCGACCTAATAAGGCATATTGATAGCAATGGGGCTGTTAAACTCCATTGCTAACAATCCCTTTCCCCCCATATAAAATGGACTACAAGCTGATGGTTCACACAATGGAAAGTGGAATCATCACCTATAAATATGGACATCAAAGAATACATGTAAGAGCTCATACTAACGCGTTTCCATTCGTGATGATTAAGCTGTTGCGCCTATTATTGATTTAAATATGATCCTATTAGCTGAATCCCGCGGATTCATCCTCGACAATCAGTATATAAATCAAAAATAAACCCTAATAATCAGTATATAAGGTGTCTTTTGTGCTAAGTTAGTATATAACCCATGTACCAAATTTCATTCAAATCCGATAAGTAAATTTTGCGTGAAAGAATAACAATATTCATCCATCGTTTTTATTATTTTAGTAGGATACTCGTATAATACAAGTATTTATTTGACCATGTAATGAACGTCTTACAACGGCTTGTATGAAAAGTTGTAGGTAGGTAAGAATTTTATTTTGTCATTTGGACTTACGTAAAGAATGTTGTAGAAGATAAATTTTACCCATTGTATTGAATATTTATGCTTTCTTTTTTTTAATTTGAAAAATAAAAAAATATACCTCAGTTAAATGATTAAGTTAAACATTAAAATATAGGCATATAAAGAATCATACGTTCGTAAATGAGATAATAGGGAAAATTATAATTCCAAATATAAACTCACATGCAACAGTTGCCAGGAAACAAAATAATTAAACCGACAACAAATTCCTTTAGAACGCAGAGTCACTGCACTTGGCACAAGGCGCTTGTTTATATTTTTTTTATTATGCTTTTAAAAGGACACAGTTCGCGCGTTTTCTACCTTCTCGGTCAGTCACTGCGCGAGTTCGCGTCCGATGGCGGACAGCGTTCGACGACGTGTGATGTTAGTTGGTAAACTTAACAGTATGAGTAACAATTGTAATATTGTAGATAACGAGGGTTACACGATAAGAATACAATGAATATTATTGGGCCACAACGTGTTGAGGGTTCCGTATTTATAGTATTTTATTAAGTGGACAAATTAAGTGTGATACAGGAATCTAAAAATACAAAGGACTTAAAAAATTCTTTGTAGGTATTTTTAGGTATACTGATAATGCAGGTTACATTGCTTGTTGTTGAAATTCATCACGAATTAATTACAAGGGTTTTTGGAAAGGACATTGTTGCTGGAGGAAGTTGAGCTGATAGTAAACGGGTTATATATTATTTATTTATTTAAGGCAAACATAATAATGCTTTAACAACATATATGGCAAAATAAAATATAATTAAAATTCAATTAATAAATAGTTTAGTTTCCATTGATAACAGTCACTTCATAAAATTGAATGATTTATCTATAACCAAGGAATATGGGCGGAATATGTTCATATTTCGTTCTATGTAAAAAAAAGTTAATGATTTTAAAAGTAGACTCCTCGTTGGCGGTTCCTGATGGTGCTCAGTTTTATTAGAAATCAGTTCCCATTATGATCCTAACGACATCCCATAAATGACATGTAAATGGCTGGATAGATTTGCAATTAGTATACAATGTACACAAATTTACACTTATTTGTGTAAATTCCATTCTACCTTGAAATCCAGGATATAGGCCATTAAATAGATCGTATCCTAAATTAATATATGGGATCTAATTTATTTTATTTCATGCTGTCCAAATCGCTGGATACAGTTAGTCCTATTAATATTGTGAATGCAGAACTTTGTAATGAAAGATGGATGGACAGATTTTTATTACTCTTTCACGCAGAAACTACTAAACGGACTTGCACTAGGTACACAGATTTATCTTATTTTTTTTTATACAACTTTGAATGGCAAACAAGCTGACGGTCCACCTGATGGAAAGTGGTAACCGTCGCCTATAGACATGAGCAGTACCATGGACAAAACAGAGTATACTGTTTCGCCCATGATACCCCCCATGCGTTGCCATTCCTGAGGACTCAGGTGTTATTCCTCCGTACCCAGTAAATTCACGCCATATCCCACCCTTCAAACCGAAACACAGCAATGCAAACTCAACTGCTTCACGGTAGAAACACGAATGGGACAGAGGTACCCAAGCAATCGACTTTTGTACAAAGTCTGCCTCTGGTATTTTATTTTTGGGTCAACTATGCTGTTGCTCGTCGACCTATCGGGATCTTTTGTGCTTCCCCCTGCTTTATAATATCATTTCATAGATTCTATGTGTCTACCTTAACTATATCCCGCGGTTTAAGATGTCTGGAGTCCCAAAGGTACACAGATATATTACATTCTAATTTAGCACATAAAATACTTTCTATACGTACTAATCCACGTGGGTGGAGCCGTGGTATACAGTTCGTCATCATCAACATATCAGCCATTAACTGTCCACTGCTGAACATAAGCTTTCCCCTTGGGGGGCTTTTGCCAGTAGTTGCCACGCTTGGCAACTACTGGCAAAAGCAAAGCGAATTGGCAACCGCATTAAGCTTCAGAGGTGTTTTAACAGGGACGCTGCTGCCTCTCCCTCGCCCTCCCTTTGTCGTCTCTTATGATACCCACGGTAAAGGACGGGGTGGCCTATTCTATGCCGGGACAATATGGACAATACAGTTAGTAGGGGGGAAAGGGATTGTTAGTAATGGAGACTGAGAATCCCATTGCTAGCAATATACCCAACCAGGTCGACCTTCTCGCGGTTCCTCCCGGAAACTATCATGGTTAATTCCTTAATGAATTCATCATGATGGGCTAACTGGCCTGTTTTCATTCTCACCGATCACCCTTCACTGGTGCTCCTCCAGCGTATCCCGTTAGCGCAGGCGGGGTTACCATACCATTTTCACCCATCAAAAAAAGAAAATACAGTTAGTAATCAATGAATTATCAAAATGAAGTACACTGCTATATTACTATAGATTATTTTCATTTAGATTTATATAATCATCTTCATCATCACCATTTCAGTCATTATCAGTCCACTGCTGGGCATAGGCCTTCCCCATACACTGCCATAAGGAACGGTTCTGAGCCACCTGCATCCACTGACTCCCTACAATACATTTGAGGTCGTCACTCCATCTAGTGGAGGGTCGTCCTACACTTAGATCTATAGCACTATAAAATATATAACACATGGATCAATAAGTCCCGAGACTAACAATGAAAACAACATTTTTTTGCAAAATTTTTTTTTTATTCATCAACATAATCACCTTTTAGGGTGATACAATCGTTCCAACGCTTTTCCAATTTTTCAATACCATGTTTATAAAAAAAATTGTCTTTCGCTTCAAAATAAGCTTCAGTTTCAGCGATGACCTCCTCATTTGAGCCAAATCTTTTTCCCTGGAGCATTTTTTAAGATCAGCAAAGAGCCAGTAGTCACTGGGGGCTAAATCTGGCGAGTATGGGGGGTGGGGAAGCAGATCAAAGCCCAATTCGTTCAATTTTGCCATTGTTTTCATCGACTTGTGGCTGGGTGCATTGTCTTGGTGAAAAAGGAATTTTTTTTCTCTGCATGTGCGGTCGTTTTTTTTGCTATTTCCTCCTTCAAACGCACCAGCAAGTCAATATAATAATCACTGTTAATCGATTTACCTTTTTCGAGGTAGTCAATGAAAATCACGCCATGCGTATCCCAAAAAACTGACGCCATGTCTTTGCCAGCTGACTGCTGCGTTTTCGGACGCTTCGGACGGCTTTCGCCAGCTGTACGCCACTCTAATGACTGCCGCTTCGACTCTGGAGTGTAGTGATGTATCCATGTTTCGTCCATGGTCACGTAACGACGCAAGAAATCTTTTTTGTTGCGAGTAAATAGCGATAAACAGCTTTCTGAATCATCGACTCGTTGCTGTTTTTGTTCCATCGAAAGCAATCGCGGCACCCACTTGGAAAATACCTTTTTCATGCTCAATTTTTCATGGAGGATAGTAAATACACTTCCATATGATATCTGTGTCATCTCAGCAATCTCATGGAGCTTCACTTTACGATCTTTCATTATAATTTTTGTCACTTCACTCACATTTTCCAGTGTAACGGCTTCCACAGGTCTACCCGAGCGTTCCGCGTCATTTGTGTCGGTACGACCACGTTTAAACTCAGCAAACCACCGACAAATCGTTGCTTTTGATGGACAAGAGTCCGGGTAACATTTTTCAATCCATTGTTTCGCTTGCACGGTGTTTTTACCCATTAAAAAACAATGTTTTATCAGAACACGAAACTCGTTTTTTTCCATTTTTTAAACAAACTACGAAACGACTTTACTCCAACCTCAATAACTCAGCTGTTTCTGGTCCGATCAACTTAAAATTTCGACACATTTCAAGCAAAGGTTAGTACTCTAGAAAGACCTGGTTACTGGTTTACTACGAGCGCCATCTCTGGGTTAGTCTCGGGACTTATTGATCCATGTGTTAATGCTTCATTTATTACATAAACTGGTGTTAGTGCAGGGCCGTAGCTAGACCCGAGTTTAAGGTCGGGCATAAGAACTTTTTGGTAGGACAGAAGCCAAAATCAAGTGACTTCGAAAAAGCGAATGTCTAATATTCTTTTAAAGCATCGGGCCTTTGAAAGTAGGGCATTGCCCCTCATTGTCCCCCCCACACCCCGTAGCTACGACCATGTGTTGGTGCGATAGATAACTGTTGATAGCGGAGGAATTTGCGTTTCCAATTGTCAATCGATAAAATTATCTGTATCGAGACGGCGCGACTACGTTAGCACTTAGCTTGTACCCTCATAATCCAGTATGTACCTATAGATAATAGCTTTCATTATTAAGTATTTGTACGTGATTAACTGTTATTTGAAGTAGGTACTTGTGTCTGTCAATATAATAGGCCGCTTTGAATGGCAAACAATCTGATGGCCAGCTTAATGAAAAATGGTATAGAATTGCGTAGTGCACTCCGTTGCTCATGGGACGTCATTCCTAAAGATTGAAATGTTATTGTCTCTAATTCTCTCTGTAATTTTATTGTTACATCCCATCCTACAATAGAATAGGCCATCCCTTCTTTACTTGTGGGGGACGTAGGAGGCGACTAAGGAAACGTAATTGTCGAGGTATGAACAGGACGGAGGGACATTACTTTCTTTTTATACATCACTGCGGTTGCCAAGTGTGGCAGCTACTGGCAAGAATCTCTCAATAGAGTGAGACCTATGTTCAGGAGTGGATAGTTATCGGCTGATATGGCGATGATGATCCCACCCTACAAATCAAAACTTACGTCATGCAAATCATGGATCAGATAGAGGCATGCATGCTACGACTTTTGCACAGTCTTTTTCCGGATGGTGTTGGAAATGCATATTAAAAAACGAGGTCTTTATTCAGAGTAGTTTATATTGTGTCTAAAAATAAATGTCTGACAAGAGTCAAAGCTGTAAATGAAAGCGTGATCACGGAGCAGAAAGCAAAGGGCATTACTAATTTCGCTATTAAAGGATTATCTCTTATCAGTTGGAAAATTTTTAGTCTCTTTAATATTCATTCATTAAGCATAATGTATGTTATTATAGAATTAAAAAACAAACAGTTTCGTGCCTCCAGTCGAACTGTTTATAATTACTCTTCACTAAAAGGTTTTTTTTTTATACAACTTAGAATGGCTAACAAGCTGACGGCCCACCTGATGGAAAGTGGTAACCGTCGCTTATAGATGCCCTGCCAGCGAATACCGATAGCGCAGGTGAGGTTACCATTTCATTATCAGCCATTAAAAGAAACCCATATGTAGAGATATATAGGCTATTTTTTGCCTTTCACGACTTTCGTATAAGAAAATAACTCAGTGGGTGCAAAAATTTCTCTGTATTTTGTTAGTTATAATACGCAGTGGGTGTCGTAAGAGGCGACTAAAGGAACTTTTCACCAGCAAAACCTTACTGCGTATCAGTGCCATATCATCATCACATCAGCCATTAACTGTTTCCTGCTGTTTCGGTTTTCGGTGGAATATGGTGTGAATGACTGGGTACAGAGGAATAACGCCTGAGTCCTCAGGAATGGCAACGCATGGGGGGTATCATGGGCGAAACAGTATACTCTGTTATGTCCATGGTACTGCTCATGTCTATAGGCGACGGTTACCACTTTCTATTAGGTGGGCTGTCAGCTTGTTTGCCATTCTAAGTTGTAAAAAAAAATTAAACAAAATGGTTATCTTTTCATTAATATTTAGTAAATCATTCTATAAACCTTTAAAGTCCATAATATAACTATTTTAGGTATTTTTTTAATGGATGATAATAGGATGGTAACCCCGCCAGCGCTAACGGTACCTTGGCGAGTCACCAATGAGGGATAAGAGGTGAGGATGAAAAGGCGGGTCAGTTTGCCCTGATTTTCAGGGGGGACCACGTGGAGATCGACCTGACAGGGTATACTGCTAGCAATGGGACTGGTAGACCGCAGTGCTAACAATCTATACTATCAGGTAGACGTTACCTCTTCGCGATTCCCCCTGGAAAGCATCTTGATCGGTTTATTGTTGAAATTGTCACGATGGGCTTAATCATCAATAATCTGGTGCCCCGCCAGTGTATACCTTCATTATGTATACCCTATTCCATTATCATCAATAAAAAAAAATAAGTACATAAGGGGGGAAAGGTATTGTTAGTAATGGGGACTAAGAATCCCATTGCTAGCAATCAACCAGGTCGACCTCCTCGCGGTTCCTCCTGGAAACTATTATGATTAATTCTAGATGAATTCATCATGATGGACTATCTGGCCTATTTTCATCCTCATAGAACACCCTTCACTGATGCCCCGCTAGCGAATCCCGTTAACGCAGGCGGGGTTACCATTCCATTTTCGTCCAATAAAAATAAATAAGTACATAAAGGTACAAGAAGAAATAGACATATATTTGTACTGTGTGGGGATAAAATCCGTAACCGCTACACCTCCAAGGTCGCCGAAGTACAAGTTGATACCGGTACTATATAAGTAGATAGTGGATACACTACGACATTACTATCAGGCCTCATAATTTATTAGAAGTCGAGGAATTCTAGTCACACGGTTTGCTTGCAATATATTTTTTAATTAGCTTGATATTGGCCCAGATCAGGCACTTACGTAATATTCGTAGATATCCAGTCGGTTGTTTGTTTACCTTTCATTTGTAACCTCCGATTGTAAGAGGTCTCATTTTGACTGCATATTTTGTATATATTAACCTTAGATTATATAGGTAGAGTGTCTCCATAAAAATCCTTCGAGAAAAACGGGTCAACTTTTTCATACAATTTTACGTGACAAATATTTATTAGTGATTGATTCCTTTATAACTTCTATATTTATTTTGTCTTATAATTTCTGCGTCTTTTTAATGCGTAAATACTCATTTTATTTATTAAATAATACGTCAAGATGCATTTTATGCGTAACTGTATAGAACACCGATAGAAAAACGAGTCAGCTAATTTGACAATTAACTGACAAAAAGGTAACCTGTTTTTGAGGCTTGCTGCTCTGTACCTATATATTGTATAATCTATTTACTTATATCTTCACTAATTTTTTTTAGTACGTTTGTTCCGTAGTGCAAATATCTTCATTAATTTTAAACTCTCATTGGTAATATATTTTTTTATGAAAGAGTTTTTTTTTTATGGAAGAAAATGGAGTGGGGTACTCGTCAATGGTTAAGGTATACGTATATAAAACGATATATAATAGGGGTACCAGTATAGGATGGATCAAGAATGAAATCAGGTCAGTTAGCCCATTATGACGTTGTTATATCAGCCATTACTGTGCACTTTTGAACTTAGCCTTCTCCATAAGGTAGGTTTTGCCAGTAGTTGCCACGCTTGGCAGGCGGGTTGGCAACCGCAGTTGGGCTTTTAGTGATGTTTTAAGAGAGACGCTGTCGCCCATCTTTCGATTTTCAAGTTCTCTTAGTCGCCTCTTACGTATTTATTAGGAATTAACAAGCAACGAATAGGATGGACTTCGTGGAGGTCAACCTGATAGTATGTATTACGTCCCTATTACTAACAATCCCTTTTCTCCCAATCGAGTGTATAGTTAAATTAATAGACTTTCTTTATTGTTTCCTCCAAAAGAAACAACAATAATACTTAAATAATAATTAATTAATTATGTTACTTTTATGTGTTTCACATTTAAGGATCCGTCGAGTATTCGTTATCTACGTGGACAGATAAAGGAAATATTAGATGTCATGTCGTATAGGAAGATTAAAAATATGACTTAAAATAGAGTTTGCTTTCAGAGAACACATAAGTTAGTTGCACCGACAAGAGGAAACCCTTAAATAAAAATAAAAGATTATTCGTTATTATTATTTATATTATATTTCATATTTTCTATTTATGAGGTGTTTTATACATGGGCTAAAGTCAAATGTTTCAAGGCATCAATCATATATGGTCATATAGGATTAAGTGACAAGAATTTATTATTATTGTTCGTCGTTTGTGAAGTTGTGAATAAAAACTTAAAAAGAAGTAATAATATTGTCCAATAATAAAGATTAAATATGATATTTATATATATAGAAAATTACTTAAAATTTTTTATCACTCAATTGCTCTATACCTCATCATTGTGACTGTGATGATTTTGATTTTATATTTGGTTATGGCAACACATGTTTAGGTCTTTAAATTTTTTTGCGGAAAAGCAAAAATTTCGTCTTGTGCGTTTTCGCTACTTTTGTCTAGTATAACCACTGTAAATTGTGATATTTTATTCTTATAATCTCATATAGTGTAAGATAGATTACCATAAGTAGTACCGTTTCACTATTCCGAAGTATCAGCTCGATTTCGTGACAGATCGATTCGGCGTAACGAAGTTGTAGGTTATATAGAAAGAAATAGATATTTGCCTTATTTTTACCTCTTATTACTTTGAAATGGAAAGCATGGACGTCGCTCAAGAAGGTACATCCGCCGCGACTACGCCTGTAGTTGAAAATGGTAAGTTTTATCGCAGTATGACGTTAGCCTGCTGAATGGAACCGGCGCTTGGCCGCTAAAAACGTGCTCCATTGTTCTTTAATTTTTTTGCTGAATTCTTTTTAAAATGTCTTAGGTCCAGATAAAAATGTTACCGCGGAGGATATGACGTCCCGGGATTACTATTTTGACTCGTACGCGCATTTTGGCATCCACGAGGAGATGTTGAAAGACGAGGTTCGAACGCTCACATATAGAAACGCTATGTACCACAATAAGCACTTGTTCAAGGGCAAGGTAAGTTTGTATCTGTTATTTTTGTTATACCAATGATAACCTTGAACTCTCAAAAAGTATGACTTGTTTAGAATAATAATGGAAGTGTGGAAAGATATAATTATTGTATGAGAATACATGTTACTACTTTGGGAGTGTATTGTCTCATCATCACTTATTACACTCGTAATGTAATATGTTCTGCAATGTACTCTTGAGTTTTAATAACTAGGTTTATTAATTTCTATTAATAATAAAAATATTGATTGATTTTGTCCTTGCCATGAAGCAGTATATTATTTATCTTTATTATATGTAATATTCAGTTTAAGAATAAAAATATTTTTTAGCTATTTATATTATATATATATATATATATATATATATATATATATATATATATATATATATATATATATATATATATATATATATATATATAATTAAATGCAATTTAAGCTGAGAAAATGGCTAAGAATCTTAAATTTTTTTTCAAATAAAAGTTGATTTGCCAAATGTAAATTATCAGTTACGATTTTCTGTTTGATTTAGATCTGAATTTTAACATTGTCAATGGAAACTCTGGCTAAAAAAAAAACCTTATACTTCAGACCTTAATGCATGAGTGCTTACTGCATGGTGAAGTCAGTACTACAAATTTAGCAGTATTACATAAAATTTACTACTTTTATATGTATTGGTGTTCTCAATAAAAAGGTCTTAAATTTATTCCATTTATCAAGTTACTATAAAAAAAAAAAAACTTATAATTCAGTATAATAGTAATTATTCAATCACAGTATTTAATTTTGTTTATATATATATATTTTACAGACAGTTCTTGACATTGGCTGTGGTACTGGTATCCTGTCAATGTTTGCAGCTAAAGCGGGCGCAGCTAAAGTTATAGCTGTTGAGTGTTCCAACATTGTAGACTATGCTCGCAAGATCATAGAAGCCAACAGGCTTGATGAAGTGATTGAAATTGTTAAAGGCAAAGTGAGTACAATTTTTATCTATTAATTAATTTGACTTGAACATTGACATTCGGTTTGAAGGGTGGGATATGGTGTGAATTTACTGGGTACAGAGGAATAACACCTGAGTCCTCAGGAATGGCAATGCATGGGGGGTATCATGGGCGAAACAGTATACTCTGTTATGTCCATGGTACTGCTCATGTCTATAGGCGACGGTTACCACTTTCCATCAGGTGGGCCGTCAGCTTGTTTGCCATTCTAAGTTGTATAAAAAAAATTTACTTACTTAATTTTTGCTTGCCTCATGGTTCACTGTTAAAGAACACTATTAAGTGTTAAGTCTGCCATATGTACACTTACTTATATAATTTTGCATTAAAGTTAAAATTAATAAAAAATAAATTCATTTATATTTCTATACTGATATTATAAAGAGGTAAGATTTGATTGTTTGTTTGTTTGTAGTGGATAAACTCAAAAAATACTTAACCAATTTTTTTAATTTTTTCATCTACAATACCAGAAATATATGTTACATTATCTGCAAGTAAAATAAGCTACAAACTTTTTTCTATCTATCTGTGCGAAGCTGGGGCGAATCATTAGTTTACTAATGTATTGATATACTAGTGATCTACCCTGTTTTTGCACAATTATTTTTTAATAAAGTATAACCCTTGTTACTTACTGATTATGTAGCTCTCTATAGGTAAAAGAATTTATAAATTCTTTTTTGAGTTTATTAATTAGACAAAAAAAAAAAAAATTCTCTATATAATATTTCAAATATGATGAAACAAAAAGTGGTAAATTTTAATGTTAAAACTTAATATGCCATCAGCTTGTTTGTCATTCTAATAAAATTCTATTATAAATAAATGATTTCTGTGACATAGAAAAGGATATGGGTTAATTAGGAGTAATTTTTGCATATATTAGGAGGTATTGATAGTCACAAATATGTGTATATTTTTTTTTGATGGGTGAAAACAGTATGGTAACCCCGCCTGCGCTAACAGGATACGCTGGCGGAGCACCAGTGAAGGGTGATAGATGAGAATGAAAACAGGCCAGTTAGCCCATCATGATGAATTCATCTGGAATTAATCATAATAGTTTCCAGGGCGACCCGCAAGGAGGTCGACCTGGTTAGGTATATTGCTAGCAATAGGATTCTCAGTCTCCATTACTAACAATCCCTTTCCCCCCAATATGTGTATATTAAGCAGTAATAGTATGCATAATTAAAGGCAGTGTTCCTAGACAGTGTTGCATTAAATTTTATAATTTTTTTTATTAAATATTAGGTGGAGGAAGTAGAATTACCAGTGGATAAAGTGGACATTATAATATCGGAGTGGATGGGCTACTGCCTTTTCTATGAGAGTATGCTTGACACGGTCCTGTATGCCAGGGACAAGTGGCTGAAACCGGACGGCATGCTATTCCCTGACCGGTAACTTGGCATTTTTGTTGGCACATCTCACCATTTGTGTTGCGACTTCCTGTTGTAACTTCATTACATTGTTTAATTTTTTTTTTTATACCACTGAGGTGGCAAACAAGCATACGGCCCACCTGATGGTAAGTGGTTACCGTAGCCTATGAACACCTGCAATACCAGAGGTATTACGCGTATGTTGCCGACCCTGAAGAAACCTCTTTATTTATATTATAAATTATACCGTTTAGGGTAATTGTATTTAATTCCACAGTTTTATAAAAAGTGTTGTACTTAGGAATATTTTATACATGATATGTAGTATTTTCTTATTAAAAGCATTTTTATTACATTTAGTTTAGTAGTTTATTTACCAGATTTTATTTATATTTTGTTTATTTATTATATTGGCTACATTATGTTCACAACAATTTTTACAAGTTTTATCTCTTTATTATCACTATAGAAAAATGTATTTATTAAATTAATTGTGATTATTAGGTGCACGCTATTCATCTGCGGTATTGAAGACCGCCAGTACAAAGACGAGAAGATCAACTGGTGGGATGATGTGTATGGTTTCGACATGTCCTCAATCAGGAAGGTGGCCATCTCGGAACCTCTCGTTGATGTTGTTGATGCCAAACAGGTCAGTGTATTGTTTTTTTTTTATGGATGATAATGGAATGGTCACTTCGTCTGCGCTATTGGTATACACTGGCGGGGTATTAGTGAGGGATGATAGATGATGATAAAGCAGGTCAATTGGTCCATCATGATGATTTTAACAATAAATCGATCACAATGGTTTCCAGAGGAAACCACGTGGAAGTCAAACTGATAGGATATATTACTAGCAATGGGATTGCTAATTTTCATTAGTAAAGTCACCCCCCCCCCCCCCCAGTCAGTTACATTACTTATTATGTTACTAAAATATGTTGCTCATATTTTTTAATTTTTAAACATTATCTCCTTTACATAAGTGTTTTGTTTCTAACATTTTCATCATTGTAAGTAGCTATAAAAGATTGAAATCCTGTAGTTTATTTTTTAATTAGCTTTTACCAGTGTCTTTGTTCATGTCACTGGGATAAAAAGTAGCTTATATCCTTCCTAATCGCGTACAGTATGTGTATACCAATTCATAGTGATTGGTTAAACCTTGTAAAGTGTCATGAGGAACAAACAAAGTTACTTTCTCATTTATAATATTAGTAAAGACAATTTTGTGCTCTTGTCAGTTGTAAACAGATTTGGTAAATTTATCTGAAAATATATATTTACAGATTGAACCCATAGGAATTTTATCAAAATTAGTTCAGTTTAGTTTAAACAGTTCAATAGTTTAGTTTGATTAGTTTAGTTCAAATAGTTTAGTTCAAACTAAACTAATAGTTTAGTTTTTAAATCAAAATAACTGGTTTTGTCACAAAGACCAGTTTTTTTGTTGAATTCATTGTTTGAAGTTTCAATGCCACTGGTGTTGTGGGTGACCATGGGCGGCGGTAGTCACTTACCATCAGGTGAGCCGCATGCTCGTTTGCCCCCTGTGTTGTAAAAAAAAAACCTATCCTCTTGTGTTCGTTATTTACCTACCATCATCGTAATAATTCTCATACAGTCCACTAATAACCGTTGCCAGACGAGTAATTTCAATTTGTAACATCTTATTTTACGAACGGTTAACAACAGTCTTAATTATTTATACTCGACATAATGTCGTTTATACACGACAAATTTGTATTACTTTTTTGTCAATTTCTCTTGCAGGTGGTGACGAATTCTTGTCTGTTAAAGGAAATAGATTTGTACACTGTTAAAAAAGAGGATCTCAACTTTGAATCAAAGTTCCATCTGCAGGTAATTAACAGTTTCATTACACGCATTGGGAGGTGTCATGGGCGAAACAGTACTATGTATAGTATAGTAGCAAGTAAAAAATGGACTCGAAGCAATTTTAACCCTCTTGCTCCGGGCCATTTAAATGCAATGCTACGAGTTATATCCGTGCCAAATTTAACAAAAAAAAGTAAATAAAAAAAAAAAGCTGTAAATATTGCTTATGTATAATTTCGTTTGACGTTACCAAAATATCAACTGGGCTATTAAAGTCAAGTAAACCTTGTCGGGAAAAATTATGTATGGGGGCATTTTAGAAACGTTCAAGTGGGGCATGGCACAAAAGAGGTTAAGAAACACTGCTCTACTCTATCTATTGATGAAAACTGCATTAAAATCGAGTGCGTAGTATAAAAGATCTAACCCTACAGACGGCTGGAAGTGACTTTGTTTTGTACTATGTACAGATAATTAATAATATATTTGCTTGACAGGTGCGTCGCAACGACTTCATTCAAGCCCTAGTGACGTTTTTCAACGTCGAGTTCACGAAGTCCCACAAGCGGCTCGGATTCAGTACGGCCCCCGAGGCGCCGTACACTCATTGGAAACAAACGGTCTTCTACTTCGACGAGTACATGACTGTTAGTATATCTGTGATTTTAACCTTGTTTATAAATTTTACCAATATATTTTTTTTAATACATGATAATGGAATGGTAGCCCCGCCTGTGCTATCAGTATACTCTGGCGGGGCTCAAGTGAAAGATGATAGGTGAGAATGAAAAGGCAGGTCAGTTATCTCGTCGTGATGAATACACTAGGAATTCAGCACGATGGTTTTCAGGGGGGACCATTTGGAGGTCGACCTGACAGGGTATATTGCTAGCAATGGAACTGGTAATCCACATTACGAACAATCCTTCACCCTTACCAGTATTTGTTATTAATATATGTTTGTAATAAATGTTTCTTACTGAATAGTGTATGTGTATATATATGTATATATATATGTATGTATGTTTATGTGTGTGTATGTATGTATTTTGCATATTAGAAACCGATCAATTGTGTTATTACGCAAATGTGAAAACGATTCATGGCTTAACATAGATATAAATTTGATTATGTATTGACTGTAATTCAGCTGTACGTTTAATAATACGTAATAAATAAATAAGACTGAATGTATTTGAATGTAATTTGATACATGGGTAGGTTTTTTAATGATGATAATGGAATAATTTTGTCATTACATCAATTTTGTCTTGTAAAGTCCGCTTCATGTTGGTTAACTTAGTAATCATTTTGATTTGTATGTAAAAATATTTCAGGTTAAAAAAGGCGAGGAGATCACCGGCACGTTCTCGATGCGTCAGAACGCGCGCAACAACCGGGACCTCGACTTCGAGATAGAAATAGACTTCAAGGGCGAACTATGCCAAGTACTGGAGAAGAATCATTATAGGATGCGTTGAAGTGTCAGCTGTTGCAAGCTAAATGGTCCTATGCCAGTGATCGAAGGTAGATTTTAAGTTTTATGATATTGCAAATTTGAGATGTCTGTTGCCAAATCTGAATGTAAATGGTGTGTTTAACAGTAAACCCTAAGAGTATGTCGATATGGTCTATTTATAAATGTATGAAATATTCATATTGCGACCGCAGTCAGTATATTGGTGTTTAACGCCTTTCGTATTTGATATAAAGTCGTCGTCATGCAGATTTGTCACAGGGTTGTCACAAAAGGATTTTTTTGTTTTAATTTAAAACTTGCACGTTTTGCACACTAGCTCTGAATATATCAGGTCTATTAACAAGTCCCTTGCAGTCGTATGATTTTAAAAGAGGTAAAAACACCAAGAAGGTATTATTAGAAATATCTAAAAACAGGGGTCTGTATTGTTAAAATTTAAGTATTTTCATTCGTGATAAAATCCACTTGTTAAAAAAATTACCACAGTTCGTTAAGTTCGTTCATTAAGTACATAACTTAAACAAATTTACCACAGTTCGTGTCGAACTGTAGTGGTATGTTTAGCTTGTTACTTTGTAAAATATCTTACTATCGTTAGTATATTTATCGTGGCATCGTTTGTATGTTTCTTAATTGCGTTAAATAGAATTACTTCCATATTGGTTATATTTAAGTTGAACAAAAAAACATTTTTAAAATTTAAATTTGAATTACTAGTAGCTTATATTCGAATTTAATACATCGGATGTTTTATATACTATTTTTTTTTCTCTTTATTTAGGTCAACAAACAGTAGACATAATAACAATATATATATACATATATATCTAAATATCAATAATTTTAGTGCCACCAACGACGTTGGCCACCTATTACCATAAAACAAAATATGTAAAATGGTTGCGTGCAACTACTTGTACAAAATCAAAATAAAAAATTCACGTGGACAAAGTCACGGGGAACAGCGAGTATAATAAACGTAATAAAGCTAACGTTTATTTGCTTGTTAGCGATTTTAAATACATATTCTTAATTTAGGCTTTCACTTAGTTAATGTATGGCATGATAAAAGAAATAGATTGCGGCAACAGCATCTTTTTTCATATAATTCTCGGCAAACAATTTGAACCGAACCATAGACAACCGACCATAGACAAGCAACAACTTTAAATATAAAAGTGTCTAAACACCTTTTTTTTTTTAATATTTTATGGCTTGGTTGTAACTTTTGTATGTAAAATTGTTATAACGCTTGCGATGCGATACTAAATTCTCAGTCAATTCGCCTGGTTGATTTTCTTTTAACGCAACAAACATTACACGTAGTTATGCTAGTTTCTAAACTTCGTGAATGATTCATATTGGTTTCTAATAAAAAATTCTATTATTATTCGGTATTGATTCGATGTTATGTATCTAATTGTTGTTTGGGAAATTCGAATAATTAAAATTTTTACATTGAATAGTATGAAAGTGCACTCAAATTAACAAGGTATAATAATGATTTTTTCATTTTATAACAAGGATCTTGGTACGGTCGGCAAAAAAATTTGATTTAGACACCTGGAGATATGACGTAAATAAATTGTAAAAAATAAAAATTATCTTTGTTCAAATACATTTGTTTACAATTTCTTTTAAATCGTTACAATATAAATTAATTTGTCATAGTTGTATAGAAAGCTATAATTGAAATACCTGGCAGTCAATAGTGGTTTCTTAAAGTTTGTTTTTGATATAAACTTGAATATAATGTCATACATTTAGGTAAAATAATTCATAATAACAAGAGATGAAATCAAATAACATCAAAGAAGTGCTCGATGAAGTATTCGAGTAATATTTCTTTTTTTTTTGCTGACCGTACGACCCAAGGTCGCACTTTGTAGGTATAAGAGTAACTAATAAAATCTTTAATTTAAAAGGCCTCTAATTAATTCGAAAATAATAATTAGATAAATTCTTATGAAGTATTTTGTCAGCGTGTCAGTCTGAACTGTAATTTTAGTTTATTAACCAACTTAGAAAGAGGTGGTTACAATAACAACGTATATAACATGTATCTTTGATGTAATCCTGAGTAAGCTACATCGATTTGTATGTTTAATTTTTTAATTGAAAAATCATAAAATTGATTCATAATTAACAAAAAAAAGTCAACGAATACAAAAAGGAAGAATAAATGATAGTCTTTTTTTTTATCATCTGAATTATTTTTGATTGATTATATATTACTCTGTGGCAAACATTACAATGAACACTATTTACAATGAAACTGATAAAAAAAAAAGCATACCTAATAACCGCGAAACTCATTTGTGTAGATTTTTAGATTAATTAATTAATTTCCAGCCAGTACAAAGTGAGCAAATTACTGGCCACTTTGCACGACTAAGATGAAATTCTCAAATTTGTATTAAACCGCCTTAGAAGTATCTCGGCCGCGATCTAGTTTTGTGAGCGGTATATAATATATATCGCTAGTTCATTGTGTTACAAATGTGTACCTTATGCTAAAGTAATAGGAGTTAAAATGTATTATTGTGCAAATCCATTCACTGGGAGGCAAACTTTTATGGCGACCCACACACGCGGCAAATGACTTGAAATAAACCATAGACAACGAAGCTTGTATAATATAGACAACGAAGTTTACATATCGTCTACTACGCAAGTTTCGTTATCGTTCTAATTTTAAATATTTTATGTTTTTGTCATTGGCATATTTAAGATTATTTGGAAGAGGGGAGGGGGGTGTACTGGTATGATCTATTAAAAAGGCGCATTATGCACTCTTAGACATGTCTTGTTTATAGCTTAAAGCTCCAAAGACAATTCTGAGGTGGATCTATCCCATCTGCCCTAACCCCCTTCCATTAAGTACGCCTATGGTTTTTGTTAATTATCTACCCGCATAATGTGAACTTTTAAAAAAAAGCTAAGATATTGTCTCCTAGTAAATGAATTTTTGTCGGATCAGTGAACGTGTGTCAAACTTTGTGTATGTATGTATGTATGTATTTCATTTTATGTAAACCTCAATAGATTTGATTAGAACCAATTGAAATTTCATAATTATATAATGCTCGATAAAGGTACATTGACAATGGGGCGTATTTTGCAATTCTACTATGTAAACCTGTCTCTAAAGTTTGGAGAAATTAGTTCAGCTCCCATAGACAATTGTAAAACATAGCTATCTTAAGTTTTCGTACCTTTTTTGTCAACGTTCGCATTTCTATATGTTCTCCTTGAACCGAAGGTTGTCTAAGAGATTGCTCTACGTCAAGACCGCTTTTTGTATCTTCATATTTTAATCTGTACTTTATACCACTGTATTTCAGTTGAATCGTTTATATGTCATTGTTTATTTTTATGTTTCTGGTGCAGTAAAGAATTAAATAAATAAAGGCATCAGCCGTCTCAATCTCTTTCTATTACATGCAGGTGTTGGCGATAACGTGTCTATCGATCGGCTGTCGCTTGTTAAGGGGATCTGAATCGATTTCATTGGCTGTTAAATATCTTTCTCTAGTACTTAAGAAGTTTTAGAAATAGATATTGAGATTTGAAACGGATTCAAATATGGAGCTGGTTATTACATAGTTGAATTATGCATTGTGTTGCCACATTAATATGTAAATTCTAAATTATTAACAGATTGAAAAATGTACTTTTCGACAATTTGATTCGATGGGATTCAAAGCTATATCTTTCTTTTATCTAAGCAGAGTGTATTCTCAATTACATTACAGAGTAAATATTATTAGTTGTTAAATTTTTCAACCATTTTTTTCAAAAGTGTTTACGCCGAATGTGGCGCCATCTGCTGGTATAGACTTAACTATTGGCTTGTGTAACAACATTGCTGTAGTGTTACTCAATTTTAAAGATTAAGAGGTAAACTTTTCAGTCTGTTGATAACTTAGTATTCCCAAATGCAGGGTACTGCGTTTATATTTTTGAATATGTAATTACTTTGGATAAATTTTTCATTTAAGCATTATGTTGTTCCTAGTGTACTGTATACTGTATGCGTTTGGCAAACATGTAATTCTATAGTTTGTATCCAAAGCCTAGAATCTAAATAGATTCACTGTTTTCTACAATGCAGCGAGAGGTGCGTGTACGATGTGTAATTATGAATAATTCGTGGTGCATAAACGAGTTAAGTGCATCTTGTGGTTTTATTTTCACTTAATTTGTATGGCCCGTAAATTGACTTATGTTTACTAATCTTCCTTCACCGATACACCGCAAGCGTTTTTTTAAAATGTGGCAAACAAGCAAACAGCTCATCTGATTGTAAACGATTACTGTAGTCTATGGACATTTGTAACACTAGAGGTGTGGCGGGAAGGGATTGTTGTAACGGGGTCTAACTGACCCATTGTTAGCAACACACCCTATCAGGTCCACTTCCACGACGTTCCCCCTGGAAACCATCGTGGTTAATTCTAGTGGAATTCGTCACGGTGGGCTAACTGACCTGCTTTCATCGTCACCTATCACTTCTCATAGTCATACCAACAATTCTCATAGTCCGTCTAAACCGAGTCAAGAGGACCTGGTATCCAGGTGCTTTGATCCCGTCAATTCTTATAGCCTTGTATTTGAACCGAGTCAAGAGGACTAAGCTGTTATCCAGGTGCTCCAGCACATAGATGAGAGCATTAATTCATGAGGAGCCGGGCTTGCAACTTATACAATAGAAGTCTCAGGTGAAGAACCGTTTCGCTCTATTGAGCATCCCAAGCTTTTTGGACGTCAGCTTGACCCTATCTTTTAGATGACACCGGAACTCCACAGTGCTGGAAATGTCAACACCGAGGATTCCAATACTTTTTGAAATGTCAATAGATGTGTTCTCGAATTGCGAAGCCACAGATAATGTTTTTTTTTTTATTAGCGTATTTCAATAGCTCAGGTGGGGTACTATCTGTATATAATTACCTTAATGATCTTAACTTGATTTTTTTTTATATACAACTTAGAATGGCATACGAGCTGGCGGCCCACCTGATGGAAAGTGGTATCTTTCGCCTATAGACATGAGCAGTACCATGAACATAACACAGTATACTGTTTCGCCCATGATACCCCCTATGCATTGCTATTCCTGGGGACCTGGGTGTTATTCCTCTGTACCCTGTAAATTCACTGCCATATCCCCTCCTTAAAACTGAAACACAAGTGATTCATGGTTAACACGAATGGGACAGAGGTAACAAAGCAAACGATAGAATTGAATAATTGATTCATAGTTAAACACTTAGATTTAGTATAACGTACTACGTAAGGTTAAACATAGAGGGAATGAATAAAAGTAACACGAAAATACATTATTGTAATAGGTTTGGTCTAATTATTTTATTATTAAGTAATATCTAAAACTAGGTATTTAATTCAATTGTACCTATTATAATTCCGAGCAGACGAGGTACTGTTCGTAAGGACAAAATTTCCATTGTAAAGCTAAGTGCCACATTAAGCCGATTTTCAGTTGCCGATCATCCGCGACGGATCGCCAATTATTTTTATTTATCATTTATTCTTATGACAGTAATACATCAAATTGCATACAATTTTCTTCTCACAGTCAGACTATACGGAAGATCGGTAACTACGTTGCCCGAAACGTCGCACTAATGCCATTTCCATATTTTTACTGATTTTATCGTGTCGTCTTCACAAGCAATCATATTAATTATATTTGGAAATACCAACGTATTACTGGTTAGCCATTTGCTTATTATTTCATCGATAATCCAATACTGTGAGTCGAGATGTAAGATTTTGGAATTGCAATGTAGACCGTTCGGTCGTCGATCTTCAGCGTTCGAGGCATAATGTGGCGATAGCCTTACTACTACCGCGGCGTCATGTGCGTTATACAAACAGCGGTTAAATATTATTTACTATAAAGTTAATGAATTATTAATTATAATTATAATGTAGATATTATACAGCAACGGCCACTGGCTGGATCTGTCCGGCGTCTTTGTATAAGTCCACACAGCAGCAGTTTGAGATCAGGAAGTGTTCTTCGCAAGTATTCGCGTACAGGAATTTGCAGTTTGTTTTATAACAGTACGGCGAGTTGACTGTAACGTAAAAATTATTATAGATTAGTGGGTAGATAATTATTAATTATTTTTTTTTAGTATTTTTTTAATGGATGATAATGGAATGGTTACCCCGTCTGCTCTATCGGTATACGCTGGCGGGGTACTAGTGAGGGATGATTGGTGAGTATGAAAAGGCAGGTCAGTTAACCCATCCTGAAGAATTGGGGGGAAAGGGATTGTTAGTAATGAGATCTAATAGCCCCATTGCTAGCAATATATATCAATATACCTTATCAGGTCGACCTCAACGTAGTTCCCCCTGGAAACCATCATGTTTAATTCTTGTCGAATTCATCATGGTGGGCCAACTGACCTGCATCCATTCTCACCTATCATCTTCCACTGGTCTCTCGTCGGTGTATACCGATAGCGCGAGTGGGGTTACCATTTCATTTTCAGCCATTAAACAAATATTCTGACGAATTCAACGATAAAAAAGTCACGATGGTTTCTAGGGGCAACCGTGTGGAGGTAGACCTGATATATTGATAGCAATGGGGACTAACCTTCCTATTACTAACAATTCCCCCCCCCCCCCCCCCCCCCCCCTTTAATTTAGGATTACCAACATTAGTTTACAATGATATTTTGATAAGGCTCTTGTACATCGCAGTATAGGTATCACATTACAAGCATAGCACTAATAATTATTAGTAAATTAAATAGTAAAAAATAAAAATAGTAAAAAATAGTATCATGGATGTAGGCACTGGGGAGACCTATTTCGAACGTGTTGTAATTTTTTAAAAATACTGCCCCATATTAATAAAATTATCAGACAAATAAATAGATTTATTTTCTCTTCACAATTCATTACAGTGAAATACAATGAGACATGCTTATATTAATCAAATTATAGTAAATATAATTGTAAGAGACTGGTGCCTGAGATAGGTATAAGAAGGTGAGGCCCTGGTGACCTGTAACACAGGTCGCCAGGGCCTCACTCCGCAGGATTACTTACTAAGTACTTGTAATAATAATAATAAGTAAATTACTTAATAACTAAAACGATACGATTATTATATTTAAACTCCATGGCCACGAGAAATTAGACACGAGATTATATCATTATGTATCTATGTATATGACTAATTTTTCCATACTTTGTGTTCTTTTTATAGCACTGCGGCGGCAAACAACCATACGGTCCACCTGATGGTAAGCGGTTACCGTAGCCTTTAAACGCCAGCAATATCAGGTTGTTGACCCTGAAGAAATCTGTTTACCCCTTTTTTGAAGAACCCTATGCTGTAGTCTTAGGAAAACTTTGACAAGGAGTTCATTCCACAACCTGAACGTTTGGGGGGAAAGAGATTGTTAGTAATGGAAACTAAGAATCCCATTGCTAGCAATACACCCAACCAGGTCGACCTCCACGCGGTTCTCCCTGGAAACTATCATGGTTAATTCCTGATGAATTCATCATGATGGGCTAATTGGCCTATTTCCATTCTCATCTATCACCCTTCACTGGTGCTCCGCCAGCGTATCCCGTTAGCGTAGCCGTCTGCGCTAACAGGATACGGGTCTACCATACCATTTTCACCCATCAAAAAAAAAGCCTGAGCGTTTGTGGGAGGAAACATCTCTGAAATCGCGCTGAACTCCCTGTCGATGGTGAGCCGTACGATGATAGAAAGTGGTCGTGGGCATCATACTGAACAATTCCTCTGAGCATAGTCCGTTATACAAACGGTAGAACACGCAATGGTTTTTTTTTTATACAACTTAGAATGGCAAACAAGCTGATGGCCCACCTGATGGAAAGTGGTAACCATCGCCTATAGATATGAGCAGTACCATGGACATAACATAGTATACTGTTTCGCTCATGATACCCCCCATGCGTTGCCATTCCTGAGGACTCAGGTGTTATTCCTTCGTACCCAGTAAATTCACGCCATATTTCACCCTTCAAACCGAAACACAGCCTTGCAAACAACTGCTTTACGGTTGAAACACGAATGGGACAGAGGTACCCAAGCAATCGAGAAGTCTAATTATTTTGAAAATAATGTGTACCCTATATTACTCGCTGATAAAGTAGCTTTATATGGGTGAAAGATTTTTTTTAAATTGCTTGAGTAGTTTTTGAGTTTCATTACAAATAAATATATAAAAATCATATCTAGTATAGAGAAATACTTACAACTGTTTCCACAACAGCACGCATCATGCGCTTGTTTCTTCGAGCAGTAGCTGTAGACTGACGAGTCGCACAGGGGGCACCCCGGATGCGCCCCGGGGGGTCCCTGCAACCCCTGGTTGGGGTAGTAACCTGGGTTATTGTACCCCGGCCCGCTGGGGTACGGATAGTGTCCCGGCTGGTAGTGACCGTAGCCTCCTAATAAATAGTGTAGTATATCGCTTAATCCGAAACCTGTTGATGAATGGTAGATGAGCGATGGTATGATGGTTAGTTATGGAGTTGTATGGATTAGGTCGTGACAGATGCGCCATATACCTTGATGATTTTTATTATGTATTTAAATCATGGATGAGAATAAAATGACACCACGTCGCGTAAAGAAGAAGTAAAGCTGTGTATTTATTGATACGTTAAGTACGTTTACGTTACGTTAAGAATTAAATTAGAATTTATTTATTTAAATAACTTTATTGAGCAAAGAAAATACAATATAAAAGGCGGGCTTAATGCTAGTAGCATTCTCTACCAGTCAATATTGGGGTTAACAGTGAATCAAGAAAGAAATCAGGAGTTTCTTTCATAAAAAGTTAATTAAATCGTGACAAGATTAGTGTGGGATCAACATTAAATTCGATAAATAGCAAAAATAATTATCAAAATTGGTTTAGAATTGGTGAATTGCACATAATATATGTGCATGTATAAAAAAAACAATCAAATTGAGACTGTCCTGCTTTTTGAAATCGGTTAAAAATGTACTATGCTTCTGTTCGACTGTTCACTGGACGGGGAATTAATTTTCAAATAATTTTTAACTAAGACAGGCTCTCCATTTGACACTTGCATGTGTATGTTACATAATATTTTCTCCTTATTTTTTATGGAACAAAATTTAAAATTATAGCTGGGTACTAAATAATTGTGTGTGCGTGCAAGCGAGATGTTGTAATGCTTCACTTGTTATTTACGCGGCTTGGAGCATTTTTTTTTGTAATTCTAACGGAATCGTATTAGCCCTGAGTGATGTATCAAATGAAGGAAAAGTAGACATGAAGATATGTATTTATTAGTTTAGATAAATGCATAAGCTATAAGTAATTGTAAAAAATGAAAATCGATAGTAGGAATTAAAATATTCATAATGAGAAGGCAAAGGAAACCTGCTAAAAAGTGTAATAATAATAAAAAAAAAAACAAACGTGGGAACGTGTGAAGAGAAAAAGAGACTTTATAGTGGATTTATTATTGATTTTTATTTGATTTATATTACATTAATACAGTTGCTTGATACAATACGTGCATAATAATATAGTAACATAACAGTATAAAGAATTACTTATGGATACTGTTTACACTATGGTAACATAGTTGTATATAAGAATGTTACATGTAAAACACAAATGTTTGTAGCATACATATATTTTTTTTTTTTTAATTTTATTACAATGCCGTGTCAAGCCTATTTACAGCCATTAAAAATTGTAATGCACATCCGTGAACTTTATTAGGTACTGTTAATTATTGAATATTTTATTTATCTCCAATAAAATTTAAATAATGAGCTATTGTTTTTAATAGTGAGAAAAAGATCAGAATCTGATTATGTTATGTTGCATTCCGGTTTAGGCATCTAATTATGTTATTTCAGTACAGTTTTAACAAAGACGACCCCGCGATGCCACCGTCATTATACTGTTTTGGGCAATTACTGAGAATTATTTAATATTATTAAATGACTTTGTTACATATCGCCTTGACCTCGCGTATTTTCCTGGTTTGTGGACGATTAATTACTTTAAAAATGACACATTGCTTTAAAACGTACTTATTATGTTAATATCATTATTAATTGTATTTTTTTAATTTATAAATAGGTACTTTTTTTTCTGTAAACTTTTTTTTCGACATTAAAAAATGTATATCTACTGTTAGCCTAACGACAAGTGGATACAGCAGTTAAAAAACGCTTGCTGGAACACCAGAGGCTATAACAGATCTCTCATATCTGTAAATATCAGGGGCAAATGTATTATCTTATATTTTACAGTTTGGGTGGCAGAATTAACAAAGTAAGACAGAGATACCCACGCAGATAATTTCGAAAATATTCCTCTGGTATTCCCAATTGGAAATACATTTAATTTTTTTTTATAGAAACCCAATTACATATTTATTTATTTACACTACTAACAAAAGGGTGAAGTGATACAAAACGTGGTCTTATCGCTACTCAATTTTAAATAACTATTGGATAGACAACTTTGATAAAAAGGTTAAGTTTATTAATAAATTCTGCAGTCTTTTCCTTTATTCTCAAAATATATACTTATTTATTTATTTATAAGTGAAGTAGATTTTAGGTTATATTAAAATTCGTCGATTAAATATCTAGAACGTATTAAAATAAAAGTTTGTTATCATTATAAATGATCTATCTATCTATCCTATTTAAGAGCTGCGCCCTTGTCGGTGGAGCTCTTGCCACTCACTACGATTTTCAGCGAGTCTCTTCACCTCTTGATACGACACGACACCAACTCCTTCCTTGATCTGCCTGATGTAACTATGTCTCGGTCTCCCTCTCCCCCTTCTTCCTTCTATTATAATGTTCATAAGTTCGTCGTGTCGTATCAAGTGTCCTAACATTTTTCCCCTTCTGTCCTCAATAGTTTATAAATGATAAGTGTGTAAAATTAAATTAAAGCATAATGGTTGTGGAAAATGAATGACAATAGTTTTGAGTAAAAACTTTTAGAACCTTGATGTACCAAACATCATTTTTGTATTAATGTAAAATGGTATTTCGAAAATGGTAATGGTGAAATGGTACACAATTATTTTTACTTTTACGTATGTGGATGGTTACATAAATTATGTGCGGTTATGACCGTGTATGACGTAAATATAACAATTGTTATTACCGTCAAACTCACCGACGTTAACTTTGTTTCTGCTTAAATCGTAGTTTGTTGGTGCTTCCCCTATTTAACAATAAGTAGTGATGTATTTAAGTTAAACACATCTTAAAGATACACATTACATTAATATTATATACCTTTTAAATATAGTGACATGGGCATAGATTAAGAATAGTATTGAGCTAGTATTCTCTTTCTATGGTTTCGAATTATTCTATCCTTCCTTCTTGGGAAAAGGGAATTTTTTAAATGGATGATAATGGAATGGTAACCCCGCCTGCGCTAACGGTATACGCTGGCGGGGCACCAGTGAGGGATGATTAGCGAGGATGAAACAAAGACAGGTCAGTTAGCTCATCGTGATGAATACATTTGGAATTCAGCGCGATGGTTTCCAGGGGGGACCACGGGGAGGTCGACCTGGTTGGGTATATTGCTAGCAATAGAACTCTTAGTCGTCATTACTAACAATCCCTTCCCCCCCGTGGAAAAGGGATTATTAGTAATAAGGTGTAACAGCCCCATTTCTAACAATATACCCTATCAAGTTGATGTCCACGGGGTACCCATGGAAGCTATCATAGCTGCTAATTGTTAAAATTTTTGTTATAACACGGGGCAAACGAGCATGCGGCTCACATGATGGTAAATGACTACCGCCTTCCATGAGTAACCGCAACACCAATGAATTCGTCATGATAGGCCAATTGATCTGTTTCATCTCCATCTATCATCTCTTCCTGGTATCCCGCCAGTGTATACCGATAGCGTAGGCAAAGTTAGTATTTCATTTTGATTCCATAATTCAATCGTTCCTTCATACATAAAGTAGAAACGAATCTATACACAGAATCTTTATAGTTAGCGACTCTATGAGATAGAACGAGATGGCGACATGCATTGTATTGTTCTTTCTCATGTGAGTACCGATCGAAGCCATTCTATCGATAGATTCGTTTGTAACTTGTCTAGGGAGACTGTTTATTAGTTAATCTGTAATTTACAGGCGGTAGTTTCAATTAATTACTAATCGAATACCTGCAGTTGGTAGAGTTTGGGGGGAAAGGGATTATTAGCAATTGAGTTGCATAGCCCCATTGCTAGCAATATACCCTATTAGGTCGACCTCCACGTGGTTCCCCCTAGAAACCATCGTGAACAATTCCTGTTGAATTCGTCACGATAGGCCAACTGGCCTGCTTCATTCTCACCTATCATCCTTCACTGGTGCCCCGCCGGTGTATACCGATAGCGCTGGTATACACCTACCTACTACTACCTACCATTCCATTATCATCCATTAAAAAAAACATATCCTACATACCTAACTCTAAGAGTACATACTTCTGCGCTTAGGAATCATTTTTTAAATGGATTATATTTATAGGATAGATATAAAATAAATTAACTAGTAAAATAATGATATTAGGTATTATAAGAGTATAGTAGGCAGATTTTTACAAAAAATAATCAATAATTTCCAGGGCGAACCGCGTGGAGGTCGACCCGATAGGTTTTATTGCCAGCAAGAGGCTTTAAGACCCATTACTAACAATCCCTTTCTTCCAATGTCGATACTTATCGACTTGAACACAATCACATGCATTATTTAAAAAAATATTCGTCTATATACAAAAAAGCATTTGAGAATACGTACACGTCAAAAATAGAAAATAACACAAATTACATTAACAACGCTAGACAAACTGACAAGGCCTCAATTTTGTTTATTTATTTTGTTCACGGAACCCAAAAAACAATGATACCCCAATTATTACAAGAGAGAAACCACTCCATCTGCACTCACATCAATTCCACGGCCCCCATTGAGATTTCTGTTATGCCAACTAAATAATTCGACTACACATAAATGAGATAATTTGGCTGTCAATCAATGGGGCTGATTCTCCATTGTTTTTCTATATACACCTGCAAGCCTGACGAGAAATAACTGTATGTGATAGACATGAACTGTCCCACTTTTCCTTTAGCAATTAATGTAACGGTATCTACTTTTGGTGTGAAGTTTATTTGATATTGTGTGCCCATATTAGGACGTAGTTTGTAAACGAATGGCTATAATAAGCTTATAAGGATTTTTAAAGCCTTTTAAATAGTATTATAAAGTTTTTCTCCCACATAATTACTCATTCATTAAAATTGTTTATGTAGATAATATATATATTTATGTTATATAAAAAAGTTAAAAAAAAGTAGTAAATAAGTTACTCACATGAATATAGGTACAATATGATATAATATGAATATAGGTAGGAGTAAGCAATCACTACGTTATTTTAAGAGTCGATAGTGACGGAATTGGAAAATGAATCTATGCATCCGTTTAGAACTATAACTATTTATAATTTATTATATTGCACATTTATTGCAACTTGGAATGGCAAACAAGCTGACGGCCCACCTGATGGAAAGTGGTAACCGTCGCCTATAGATATGAACAGTATCATGGACATAACAGAGTGTACTGTTTCGCCCATGATACCCCTCATGCCATTCCTGAGAATTAAGATGTTTTTCCTCTGTACCCTGTAAATTCACTGCCATATCCCATCTTTCACACCGAAACACAACCATGTAAACACAACTGTTTCACAGTAGAAACACATATGGGACAGAGTTGCCCAAACGACTTTTATACAAAGTCTCCCTCTGGTATTTGTCTTGATTATAGTTAGTAGTTACGTTATTTTAGTACGAGAGTTAAATTCTGAACGTTGTGCTTGCTTTTTATAGATACTTGTAATAGATCTAATTTTGCATAGATTTTTTTAACCTATTCTATCCAAAATGTCGATAGTTACTCGTATATATGACTAGGCGATCCGGCGAACTTCATATTACTTATAACACGATCTATTAAAAATATTTTTTACTAGCGATTCCTTTATAAAACTACCTATTTTATTTTTTTATTTGAACTTTGGGACTTATTCTACTTTTTACTTTAAACTGTGTATTACAATAAATGAAAAAAAAATCAGTAAAGCCGTTTTTTAGTTTTTTTTTTTACATTAACCAATGGCGATTCATTTTTATATTTTTAGTATGTAGATGTAATTATTTTATAGTATAAATTTTTTTATTCAATTAATTGGTTGCATAGATTTCATACAAACGGTTTTTTTGTTCAAAGTGACGCGGGTCTGGAACAGATTTGTTATATTAGCGACATGTGCTTCCAAAATAATACTGACGTTATTGTTCCAATTCGATGATCGAATGGAATTTCATTGATAATTATAAAACGTAGCGATTACTTGTTGAGTTGATAATCGAAGACTTTAATATGTAACGTTTTAGAGAAATTGAAATTGTCACGCTTCGTTCTACACAGACACTTAATTCATTGATTCGTTGATCATCAACTAAACTCTATCTAACCAGCCTTCATTAGCCCACTGCTGGGCATAGGTCTCTTTCTGACACACAAAAATATGAAAATTTTGTATATAGTATTGATTTTTCTAATATTATGTTTGTAAGAAATAGATAAAATGTCTCTGTATGTAGGGATAATATCTAAATAATTGAACACTGTTAAATCATTAAACAATGTAATTTTTTCTACGGAATTTTTCACGAAATTAGAATTCGTTTTGGCGGGAAATAGTTACCTAATTAATTCGAATTTAATGTATTTTTTTAAATATAATTTAAAATGGCAAAAGAAGCTGACGGCCCATCTGGTGGAAAGTAGTAATTGTTACCTATTGACATGAACAATACCATTGACTGCATTGTCTCATGCATGCACGCAGGCATTGCTATTCCTGAAGACTAGGGTGTTATGCCTCTGTATCCTGTAATTTCATCGCCATAGCCCACCCTTCAAACCGAAACACAGCCATGCAAACACAACTACTTCACGGCAGAAACACGAATGGGGCAGCGGTACATAAGCAAACGACTTTTGTTTTTTTTATTCCAATGAGGTGGCAAATAAGCATACGGCCAACCTGATGGAGTTCCCGTAGCCTATAAACACCTACAAAACCAAGGGTATTATGTGCACGTTGTCGACCAAAAAAACCTTTTTTTAAAAAACCCCATGCTGTAGTCTCTTGGAAAAACCTTGACAAAAAGCTCATATATATATTTCAGAAATTGAATGAGTTTGTAAGTGCCGTGTATGATACTAATGACAACTGGAATTGTAATTTTTTAAAGTAGGCACACACATTTTGTTTTTTGTCGATGGGGCGAATAATTTAAAAAACAAATGAATCACAATATTGTCATGTAATTATGGTACTAAATGGATACACAGTTTATTTACGCTAGCCTAGTTGTTTTTGTCATTTAAAAATATACTATATAATAGGTAATTATAAACACAGTTTAGGTATCAGGGGATTCGTCCGTAATGTCCCATACTTATTACTCTTTGATGACTTTCGGAAAATAAAATTCATTCTGTAATGGGAAAAAAATTGATGACGATGATTCGTAGACATCTTTTTATATCTATAAATATTATTTGCGATAAGTTCTTTGTGAAATCTAACCATAATTTATAATGATAACCGGTCTACATGGCATTGTTCGATATAGTTTTGATGTTTTTCGGAAATGTCCTCAGGAATGGCAACCCATGCGTTGCCATTCCTGAATTCCTTGCCCATCTGGTAGGAGTTTGTGATGATGACAGAGCTTCATCAACTGGCTGAGTTCACATATTGCACAGAAGAAACTTATATCCTATTCTCTTTGTTCTATACACACAACACAGAAGAATAACATAACAACAACAATAACATTTCATGATTGGTTGAGTAATTAAGGTGTTAAGAGGTAACGAAAAAATATCTTATTTATTATTAGTAAGGATTTTTTTTTATGGGTGAAAATGGTATGGTAACCCCGCCTGCGCTAACGGGATACGCTGGCGGAGCACCAGTGAAGGGTGATAGATGAGAATGAAAACAGGCCAGTTAGTCCATCATGATGAATTCATCAGGAATTAACCGTGATAGTTTCCAGGGAGAACCGCGAGGAGGTCGACCTGCTTGGGTATATTGCTAGCATTGGGATTCTGTCTCCATTACTAACAATCCCTTTTCCCCCTAAATTAGTAAGGATTACTAATTTAGGGGGGGAAGGTCCCGTGTACGTGTGGTCTCGGTATAGAATGCGTCACTCTTTCGGTTCTCGTGGGTGTCGTAAGAAGCGACTAAGAAAGGGCAAGAGATGGGCAGCAGCGTCCTTCTTAAAACATTCCCAAATATTACCGAAAGTTGCGTCGCAACTTCTGGCAAAATACACCAATAGGGAGAGGTTTATATTCAGCAATAGACGGTTAACGGTTGATATAATAAATAAATATAGTGACAAACAACAAGCATACGACTCGTCTGAAGGCAAACGGTTACCATAACCATAGCGTAGAGAGCTTGAGGACCTAGACGAAGTAACATTCTGTTAAACGATATCGCTGACAGAATGTAGAATTTATTTGAGATTGACATAAGCTATCGTAGGATTTATGTAAAAGCTTCAAATTACTTTGCGAGCTATGAAGAGGAATACTCTCGGAGTTCTTTTGCATGACCGAATGAGAATATCCGCAATAATACCAAAGTGACCCACATAGCCCGAAGAATAAGCTGGCCGAAGTGCCAATGGACTGGTTACATAACTGGAAGAACTGACAACCGATGGGAAAGAACGGTGCTTGAATATCGATCCCGTACGAGCAAACGCAGTGTAGAACGACCATTTACTAGATGGAGTAACGACCTCAAATACATTGCAGGCTGTCAGTAGATGCAGTTGGCTCAGGACCGTTTCCTATGGCAGTCTATGGGGGAGGCCTTTGTTCAGCATTGGACAGATAGTGGTTGAGGTGATCCTAAGATCACGTTTTCTATTGATATTGATAAAAAATTGGCAGAAAATTTAATGCCATTTGATTTGTTATTCTCGATTTAATTTTTTTAACTTCAAATAACATTTTCCATATTCAAAACTCAAGAGTGTAAAGTATTTAGCTAGCATAATAAAATTCTAATAGGAAATATTTTTTTATTAAATTGCAATAAATATAATTTCAATTTAAAAAAAATATGTTAATTTTTAAATATAACATATTTATATATTATTGTGTAGGCAGAAAACTAACGGCCTCTTAACACATTTCTTAATACTTCATTCACTTTTATACTTTTAATATCTACCTTAAGTGGGAAGGGATTGTTAGTAATTGCTATCAATATACCCTATCAGGTCGACCTCCACGCGGTTCCCCCTGGAAACTATCGTGACAAAGTTATCGTTGAATTCGTCACGATGGGCTAACTGACCTGCCTTCTTATTCTCACCTATCATCCCTCACTGGTGCCCCGCTGCGTATACCGATAGCGCAGGTATGGATACCATACCATGTTCACCCATTAAAAAATATATATATCTACTTCATAACTCGTCATATAAATATGCCAGTTCCGGAAACATTTAATTAGACAAAATATATTAATATACTAATAAAAGTAAATAGACAGTGAGTAGTCTAGACATGACAAGAGTTAGTAGAAATCTAGTATTTAAATTGTTTGAACACATACACTATACGAGTATATACATGTTATTATGTAATTCTACAAAATATTATATTAATAGTTAAAAACACGATTAAATATTTACATTTTATTTTATACCACGAAGGTGGCAAATAAGCATACAGCCCGTCTGATGATAAACGGTCACTGTAGCATATGGACCGTGAAATCATGTCGTGTTTATTTCCGAAAATAAATATTGAAATGTATAATTATGGAAAAAAAGTGTTTCAAATTATTAATGACAATTAAAATTATAAAATATTTCTTTTTTATTATTTCCACTCACCGTACGCGCTAGCAATAGACGCGGCAATAATTAATAATACAATTTTCATATCCATTATTATTATTATCTTTGTTTATTTGAACACAAACTATTTTGCTATTTGTTACACTGCCGGCGTGTTTGTTTGCACGCAACTTGTTAACTGTCTCGCGGTGGCGAAGATCAAGTATCGAATATTAAGTTGAAAATAACTGCAAGGCTTAGATATATGTGGATATACCGGTACAATTCGAGGCAAAAGTGTTATTGTGTTTTTTTTTTATATATATATATATATAATATAGAGTGGATTCAAAGATTTCCCAAAGAAGATTGATGTCAAGGCAGGCGGCCGGTCGTAAAACTGTAATCCGAATCTTTTTGTAATATGGATAAAAACATATTAAGCCGATCCCAAATAATAATTGGGATAAGGGTAGGAAGATGATGATGTAAGATTGGATTTATTGTTATTACTACATATGTATTAACTTAAATTTTTTACCTCCTTAAGTGCATCGCTTAGGTATGACTAAGGGTTGTGATCTCCAATAGTTTTGATTACCTTTTCTCCAATTCCTTCTCCAGAAGAGATATAATTTTTCTCTCTCTATTTGTTTCTGTCCTTGCTGCTCATAACACGTATTGTGTATATTTAATTGATTGGACTCACGCACCAAGTTGCATTCGATGTGTTTTGTTATCTACTTTGCTGGTAATTGTATTTTACTGCACTAGATGTTATTGATGTTTATATTAATATTTATTATAATAATGCATGAACACTTGCGCCAAGCAATAAAAAACACGTATTTTAATCGACTTCTAATATTATTTTCTTTATATTTCAGAACAATTTCATCAATTTCAGCCATATATATTTCTTTTTTCACACACACCAAAGACAATCATCCAGCGCCCTCTGGCCTACTCCACCGTAACTACTCTTTTTTTGTCTATGCCTAATGTTGCAATTATTAAAAATAATAATCGTGGAGGCTGGAGACACAAAACAATTAAACTCAACAGATATTATTATTTCGAAGACCATGTCACTGGTTATTTGATTAGAATTATTTTGTTTAACTTTTTTTTTTTTACACAACTTAGAATGGCGAACAAGCTGACGGCCCACCTGATGGAAAGTGGTAACAGTCGCCTATAGACATGAGCAGTACCGTGGACATAACAGAGTATACTGTTTCGCCCATGATACCCCCCATGCGTTGCCATTCCTGAGGACTCAGGTGTTATTCCTCTGTACCCTGTAAATTCACGCCAAAACTCCACTACCATTAGTGTGAGTGCGACTGTTAACACTCGAAAATTAACACTATTATTATTACTAGAAGTTCTACAACCTTCCATATACGTGTGTGGACGAAATGGCAGTTGAAAATTGATAAAATTTAAATAAACAATAGATAATAGTACATCATAGGTTATGTTAGTGTCATGTTTCATTATGTTAGTAACATACGAGTATGTTAGTGATTTATCAACCTAATAATTGTGACTAAAAATAAAAGGAATAAAAAGAAAAAGAAATGCTATTTTTCTGTCCTTTAAAAAATGCTAAAAATAAAATACATTAAAATGCTTACTTACTTACAATAAAACACTTGACCGCGCAACAGTACTTCAAGTGCACACTATTACTGGTCCATGACACTATGAGTCTGCGTAGTTGTCCTTAAACTACCGATTATGGGACCCGCTCTCTGGATTACTAATTACTTTGTTTATGTTCTATTACAATTCAAATGGCCTAAGGTATTAGAATGCAAATGGTATAGAATTTTAAAAATCGAATTATAACCGCTGATTTACTTAATATTTAAACGTCTTTGTGACTTGAGTAAATGATTCGATCTTTGAAATAATACCTGTCAATTAGAAGTCGGACTTGCGCATCGAGGTTTCTGTGCTTTTAGAGTTTTTTTTTGATGGGTGAAAATGGAATGGTAACCTCGCCTGCGCTGACGGGATACTCTGGCAGAGAACCAGTGAAGGGTGATAGATGAGAATGAAAACATGCCAGTTAGTCCATTATGATGAATTCATCAGGAATTAACCATGATAGTTTCCAGGGGGAACCGCGAGGAGGGGAGGTAAATCCATAAGATTAGAAAAACTAATCAAAAATAACAAAAATAGACTATTATATTTACAATTTTTATTTTATTTTCTGCTTTAGACATCTACCTAAATAAATTGTATATATATTAATTTATATCTTTTATAATTAATGTTTTTTTTTTATAACTAAACAGTCCATCCTAATCTTATGTTATATTACTATCTAATTTTAGTGATACATTAAATTTTAGTTACAGTTCTTGCCACTAGATGGCGTTATATAAAAATATGCATAAAATAGAAGAATAAAATCATAAAATTCCAATTAAAATTCTGTATCTCGATGCAAATTCAGTATGTATAATTTTAAAAGTGTTTATTGAATTCATTGGTATCTCGTATTTGCAAAATCTTTACTAGTTACTACCATATACGTTATTTAAATAGTTATTGGCGTATATGGGAGATAATGTCAGGGCCTGAGGTATCTGACCGTAGACCAATGAACCCATTTACCGTAATTGTGAAACCAGTTGAGTGGGTGCTCCCTCCCCACTTTGTGATGCACAATATGTGTCTTTGCAGACAGATGTTATTAGGTTTATAATTAGATTTCTTTTTTTATTCAGAATGTGAGTTAAGCTACTTAAAAAAAGGTTCTTTTTTTGCAGTAATTAAAAAAAATACAGCGAAATATCCCTAATTATTACTATAGAGAAGTTTTTTCTCGTATTTGTATCATTGATACTCATTTTCTCGCGATTGAAGTTTTTTTTTTTATGTTTAACAAAATACTGTATTATTTTAATAAAATTTTGCTGGGGAGAACGAGATTGTTAGTGTTGGGCTCTACTCGCCATGTTGTTAACAATATAATATACGCGTTTTTTTAATGGATGATAATGGAATGGTAACCCCACCCGCGCTATCGGTATAGACCGGCGGGGCACCAGTGAAGGATGATAGGTGAGGATGAAGTAGGTCGGTTAGCCCATCGTGACGAATTCAACAAGAATTGTTCACGATGGTTTCCAGGGCGAACCACGTGGAGGTTGACCTAATAGGGCGTATTGCTATCAATGGGGCTGTCAAACTCCATTGCTAACAATCCCTTTCCCCCCCTAATATACCGCGTTAGGTTGACCTCCATGCGGCCTCTCTAGAAATCATCGTGGTATTTTTTTATACCACTGAGGTGGCAAACAAGCATACGTGATGGTAAGCGGTTACCGTAGCTTATGAACGCCTGCAATACCAGAGGTATTACGCGCGCGTTGCCGACCCTGAAGAAACCTCTTTACCCCCCTTTTGAAGAACCCCATGCTGTAGTCACTTGGGAAAATCTCGGCAGGGAGCTCATTTTATTTATTACTTTTGTACAATCACTTACAATACAGATATTAGGTTATAACAACAATGTACACAGGCCGACTCATTCCTTAAAGGGATCTCTTCCAGTCGACCTTGAGAATCTTAAAGGAGAAAGTATTTATAGTGTTAATACGAGTCGTGGTGCATTCGTCACAATAGGCTAACTGTTCTGACTTCGTCCTCACCTAACTACACTCACTGGTGTTCCATCAACGTATACCTACCGAAAGAGTAGACGGGGTTATCATGCCATTTTTATTTTATTTATTTATACTTTTGCACACATAAAAATATGTCGACATGGCATATTCAATGTCTGATGACATTCTGTTAAAAAACTTTATAATAAAATTGCGTTGTATTCTCTATCCATTCATGTATTTGTATTGTAGCGTTCAAGCTCCATCAAAGGTCAACCCATGTTGAGAAATATCAAACCTCTTGATTTTCCTTTAGATATAGCGTATTTGCATCACCAGAGCTTAAATGCGGTTGCCAACCTGTCTGCCAAACGTGGCAACTACTGGAATCCCCCCCCCCCTCCCCCACCATATGGGGAGGCCTATGTTCAGTAATGGGCAATTAACAGCTGATATTATTATCATATCATTGTGCCATGTTTGCGCGGGAAAATTAATAAGTACGAGAGATTTCATTTTTTTTTTTATTTCTATTGAATATTATTATATATTTTAGACCTATTGAAAAATTGTTGTTTCACTATTGTGAAACAACACTATTTTGAAAGAATGTAAATATTTATTTATTCACTCTGTATTTATGAACTTTTTTATAGTATTATAGTAGTATTATTTTTATAGTAGTATTAATATTCGAAAAAAAGACCAAAGGTTTGATAAAATAAAAACAAAATATTGAAAAATTCAAAAAAATTATTAACTTATTAGTCGGTAACTTAAATTTATAATTAAATATTACAAATCTAATGAAGTAGGTAACATATTGCCGTAAATATAAATATATAACTACATTGTTGTACCACTTAATTAACTAGTTAAGTACGTTCTATTAAATAATCGTTGTTTTCTCTAATCAAATTATCTACACTAGGAAAGTTGCGAATTCTTGGGAGAAAAATATATATTCACGACTATAACCCCTAATGGGGTAGTCATAGTCAATTATCGAGTGTGGAAGTTGAGGGGGACGTAACATTTGATCGGTGTTTTACGATGGTCAAAACACATATAGTGACAGTAGAAATTTAGACAACTTATATTTAAACTGAATTTTTGCTCGCGAAAGAGGTTTGTTTGAATCGAAGCATTTGACGTTCCATTGTTTTTGCCTACCCTAATGGGAGACAGGCGTGACAGATATGTATGTATGTATGTATGTATTTTTGCTCGCTACTTTGCACGCGTTGATTACAGAAGTACAAAATCAATGAAATTGACCATTTTTCAATATCGTATCAAGCTAAACTATACACCAATTTTAGGATATATCTTTAGAAACACAACAGTGAAAATCTGATCCAATTTGGTGCAGTAGTTTTCGAGTGATACCGGAACAAACATATAGACAGAGAGATAAAATTAAAAAAAAAATATTTAGGTTTCTGTTGCTCTTATGACCAGTGAACTATAAAAAAAGGGCAAGCACAAATGATCACGGAAAGGTTACAGGCTTTATTGCCTGAAAAAAGTCCCTCTTTTAATAATAATGATAATTGTTCTTATTAAGACAGCACTAATTATTTTTTCTTCAATATCTCCAATATGGTCTAATTTCAATTTTATTGTATTAATAAAATAAAATATTGTTATACACATTATGGTTACTTGTTCGATCTATTTTTATTATTTTATTTATTTATTTATTTAAAGCAACACCAACAGCATATTGCATTATAACATATAGGTATAACAAACATTAAATATAATACAATATTAATGCACATGCCTATTATAGGTATTCACAGCATTCACTTTAACATAATTATACAGTGCGAGAAAACGAAGTAAATAATAAAAATAACATGTAACCTAAGTTGTGAGCAATATCAGAAAATACGATTATGAGTGAATTGAATTAAAAAATATTTAAAAATATATATATATATATATATATATATATATATATATATATATATATATATATATATATATATATATATATATATATATATATATATATATATATATATATATATATATATTATGATAATTATTAATGATCTAGACGCAATATTTTGTATTAACTCCTTAGTGTGTCAATGAAATTTTTATAAGTACATTGATTACACAGATAGACAAAAATATAATACTTTAAAGCTACAACTAGAATTATATTTACAAATTTATATTATATTATAGCGAGATGAGATACGAACCTAATTGATTTCTAAACGAACTCGTTTTCGACATAAAATTCGTGTCAATGAACTTACATGTAACTTTCGATTTTTATTTAAAACTAAAAACGAAATTTAATGTGTTACAATACTTGGTACAATTTTTAAAAATTAAATAGAAATATTTTATAACCGTTCCGACCCGGCTTTGCACGGGTTTTTAGAACTTTCGCTATGTGTGTCCCGGCATAGAATAGGCCATTCCTTCCTTCCTCGTGAGTGTCGTTAGAGGCGACTAAGGGAAGGCGAGGGCTGGCCTCTTAAAACACCTCTAAAGTCTAACTGCGGTTGCCAATCCGCCTGCCAAGCGTGACAAGTATTGGCAAATCTCCCCTTGGGGGAGGTTTATGTTTAGCAGTGGACAGTTAGAAGCTGATATGATGATGACGATGATTTTATAATCGTTATTAGTAAAATATTTAAAGCCATTAATTATTATTAAATAAATAAATAAAGGTGAGTAAAAAAGTGGCGATCTCTTATCTCTGCATTCTTGATTGGCATTACCTTTTATTAACTAACATTTTAAAATTATTTTAGCTTGTGCCACATTTAATTAAGGAATTTTCGCCCTTATTTTAGCTTAATATAAGAGTCTATTTTCATTGCTTTTATGTCATAAAGTTGAGATGTAAACGTAACGTAATAAGGATACTCTACATTTATAATATAACCACAGTGTAAGGAATAACCAGTTGTCCAACGCGCTTGGTATAGTCCAAACGACTGGAGGTAAGAATTAGACTAATTGTGAGTATATTTCTCAGTGATCGCTTTAGATTCTAAATTAGTACTCCATTTGCGATCGAGTCTCTAGATTTATAACTTCAGAGTATTTTACTGAACTAGATGTTATTTTACGGTAGAGCAAATCACTGGTTGGTTGATTAGGATTATTTTGTTTAATTCCGCTACCATTAATATGCGTGCGACTAAAATAAAAATGAGTCTTCGCAGTTTGGGCGCTGAACCGCTAATATTAGGCTTCTTAAGTAGCGATCTATTAATATACATGAAGATGTTGTTTAGACGTGAAACACGTGGTGCAAAACGTGCGTGGACGGTATGGCGGTCGAAGATTGATGGCTAATATGGAAGGTCGTAGAACTTTTGGTAATAATATTAGTAGTCAATCTTCGGAATTAAACAAAATAAATCTAATCAACTAACCAGTTTTAACTGGAGTGTAACTAATCAAGACGTTGTGTTCTTTATTCTATCTTAATATAGGGTTCCAATTTCATTGCCCTCATGATGTCCCCGGTGACCGAACAGCGGCCAGCCTGCATGATGACGCGAGGGTCCTCCCGGCCGTACACCAGTTGTTTGAAATAATGCTCGTTTAGTGTGAACGTGGTATCGGGGTCCTCCTCCGGTTCTCCCTCGTACACTATCACTTTATTGAGGTCCATCGCTGGAATAAGTAAGTAAGGTATATTTAAATATATGACGGCCTTATTTTTACCGTCTTGTCCTACTGTTCGTTCCTTTAGATGTAATTATAGTAAGTATCTCAAGAAGATATACAGAAACAATATTGAGCAGCTTCTGCCCTGCAAATAACTGGCTACTATGTCAGCTTATTTCTACCACACTTCACTAATAAAATAAAAACATTATTATCATTATGTATACGAGTATGTATTATTTCTCAGCTATAGCCGGTTTTGTAAAGACAAGGACGGGTTTGTTACCAAGTCACTTGTTCTCATATTTTGTTTTATTCAGTGGGATTGTTTCCAATTTTGTTTAAATATAATTGATAAGAAGACTGTCATCATTGTGTTCTCTTTTATTTATATATATATGTATATATATATATATATATATATATATATATATATATATATATATATATATATATATATATATATATATATATAATTTGTAATTTATGTAAATATTTATTTTAATTTCTTTTTGCACTACTGCTGCCCATTCACTACTTCCTATGCCACTGTGTTAGGTTGACTGGAAGGAATCTCTTTTAGAGATAAGTTCGCCTTTGCTAACATTGATATTAACTTATTGTTGTTACTGTATGTTTTAGTGCAATAAGCATTTAGTGCACTAGAGCTGGTTTTGGTGTATATATAATTTTTTTTAGTGGGTGATAATGGAATGGTAACCACATCCGCGCTATCGGTTAAAAATATGCTTATTCCTAACTATAGAGCATTTGTCTAATACTGTTGATTTCTGTAGTGCAATGAAGAATGTTTTATTAAGGCGCTACATCCAATAAAAGGTTATTTAAATTTAAACTAGATTTTTGTAAGACTAATCGGAAACTATATCGTTTAAAAAAAAAGAACTTTACAAATTGATTTATAAATGATAGAGTTATGAAAAAATTCAATTAAGACCCTACTCTTTTTTTGAAGTTGAGTAAAATATCACTTACTCCAACTATAAACGGAGTTTCCTCTGATGATGTTGAACAGGAAGACACCGCCAACTTCACGAGCCTTGTTCGGGTCGGCGGCGGCCACGCGGGCCTTAATCTTCTTCACCATATCTGCTTTGCTGGAGTCCTTATTATCACTCTGATTGGCCCCCTGAAATTATTATAAGTTCAAATTAATAATTTTATTTTCAATAATACAAACATTTGTCTGACACTAAGGGGGGAAGGGATTGTTTTAAATGGGGTCAAATAGCCCCATTACTAGCAATATACCCTGTCAGGTCGACCTCCACGTGGTTCCGCCTAGAAACCATTGTGGCAAATTTTAGTTGAATTCGTCAGGATGGGCTAACTGATCGTCTTTCATCCTCATCACTCATCTATTACTAGTGCCCCACCATTGTATACCGACAGCACAGACGGGGTTACCATACCATTATCACCAATAAAAAAGAAACACTTTCAGAGAGTTTACCGTGTGCTCCCGGTATAGAATAGGCCACCCCTTCCTTTACCGTGGTCATAGTATTATATTATCTGTGCCGTGGTTGTCGCAAGAGGCGACTAAGGGACAGCGAGGGATGGGCAGTAGCGTCACTCTTAAAATACCATACCATGTCATAACCTGCGGTTGCCAACCCGCCCGTCAAGCGTGGCAACTACTAACCTCCCCGCCCCACAATGGAAAGTTTTATTTTCAGCAGTTATAATATATATATTGTATATATACACATCAAAATGCGCGCGTTAAAAACAAAAAAAATAATGCGCGCGCGCGCGCGCGCATTATTTTTTTGCGCGTGTGTGTGTGTGTGTGTGTCTGTGTTTGGAAAAATGGATAATCATATACATATATATACACACATGTATATATATATATATATGATTATCCATTTTTTGTTGTTTAAATTATATTGTGTTTACAGACTTTAGCTGTGTGTTTATGTTTTGATCATGCCGTGTACGCAAAGTTTTGGAGGATTAGCTTAAACAAAACATAATTGTAGTTTATAAATTAATGTAACTATGTTAATTCTCTGTAATGTGTACCTATTTAAATAAAATAAAAATAATCAATAATATTATATATCTATACATTAAGTATAAGCTCAATTGTTTTTTTGTTGTCGACAGATAATTGGATAATTTTTTTAATAGGTGATAATGGAATGGTAATCCCGCCTGCGCTATCGGTATACGCTGACGGGGCACCAGTGAGTGATGAGAGCACCGTGATGAATTCCACTAGAATTAACCACATTGTTTTCCAGGGGGAACTGCGTGGAGGTCGACCTAACAGGATGTATTGCTAGCAATGGGTCAGTTAGACCCCATTACTAACAATCCTTTTTCGCCAATTATTGGACAATTGCAAAGGTAGCACATTTCTTTAATCTTTGTGACGCTCTTAAATTCAATAAGAGGGGGGGGGGAAGGGATTGTTAGTAATGGAGACTGAGAAACCCATTGCTAGCAAAATACACAACCAGGTCAACCTCCTCGCGGTTCGCCCTGGATACTATCATGGTTAATTCCTGATGAATTCATCATGATGGACTAACTGGCCTGTTTTCGTTCTCATCGATCACCTTCACTGGTGCTCCGCCAGCGTATCCCGTTAGCACAGGCGGGGTTACCATGCCATTTTCACACATCAAAAAAAAAATCAATAAGAGAATCGAAGTGTTAAATGCTATAGTAGTTGGCTGTCTCAAGACATTATTATGTAAGTGTTACGTGACCAATACTGTTATTAGTAATGGGTACATACTTATGTATCTACATAAATGGGCTGCTCACGAGAGAATGGCATTGTAAATCCACGAGTATCAAGTGTCAGATGTACTTGAATGAGATTTTAATTTGTAGAATTTGGTAGAAAAATGCAAATGCAGTGTTGCCATCTAAAAAATATTTTTAATGCCAGATATATTTTAATTTATTAATATTGTATATTAATATTATAAATGTGAAAGTGAGTTTGTTTGTTACTTCTAGTGCTTTAACGGCTTAATGAATCGCTTTAAAATTTGACATATACGTATTGTAAGGGACGGAGAAGGATAAAGGCCATTTTTTTTTATCTCAGTCAGTAAATAAAAATATATTCCGGTCACGTAGATAAAGTCGCGGAAAAAAGCATGTATTAATTTTTTTTTAATTTTTATACCTAGCTGTAATTCATTAATTAAAAGAAAAAAGTAATCTATTCGATAATCCTGGATAAAGTCAGAATGTGCACTAAATTTCATTCAAATCTGTTTAGTTGTTTTGGAGTAATTGACGATAGTATTAATTAAGAAGATATTTTACTTGGTGCAATAAAGTGTAAAATAAATAAATATAAATAATTAGTAATTTTTAATATTTCCTTCTCTATTGTGTTAACGATCTAATGTCACTTTGTTTCCTTAGTCGCCTCTTACTCGGTGACCACACACATAAAATTATAAATACCAGAGTACATAATTAAAATGAACAATTGTGGTCACTGCATGTTTGTTTACATTTCACGTACAATAGTGTGACTCTCTCAATAGTCACTCTTAGTAGTTAACAGTATAATAGCTACTTATTTCTATTATTTCCTTGTGTTTTATGGCGTTGTTTGAATTAATATACATTTCAAACGACTTCAGAAAGGAGGTTGTCAATTCGATTGTTTTTTTTTTTATGTTTGTTACCTCTTTATTCTATCAGTTATGAACTCGATATTTGGATCGATGTGAGGTATTCTTTTATTATCTGATAGGATATACTTATAGATTGGTCATGTAGCAATTTTATCAAAATTAGTTCAGTGGTTTAGTTTTTAAATTAAAATAACTGGTATCGTTACAATTAAAGTTTTTTTTTGGAACACAATTTATTTTACAATATAGATAGATAGAGAGAGAAAAAGAAAATATAAAAAAGATTTTTTTTTATACAACTTAGAATGTCAAACAAGCTGACGGCCCACCTGATTGAAAGTGGCAACGGTCGCCTATAGATATGAGCAGTACCATGAACATAACAGAGTATACTGTTTCGCCCATGATACCCCCCATGCGTTGCCATTTCTGAGGACTCAGGTGTTATTCCTCTGTACCCTGTAAATTCACGCCATATCCCACCCTTCAAACCGAAACACAGCCATGCAAACACAACTGCTTCACGGTAGAAACACGAATGGGACAGAGGTACCCAAGCAATCGTCTTTTATACAAAGTCTCCCTCTGGTTAAGAATGATTGGACAGTTAGAGGCACTTATTGATTGCTGACAATGTGGTGCACGTAACATTCTTTTTTTAAATATATTTATAACACATCATAAATATTTTAATTAAATTATAGTTGAATAATAACTATTTTGACAACCAATTTCATTTTCCATTTTTACATTACCTTCTCTTTCTATCTCTCTCTCAATAAAGAATATGAAACACATAAAAATAAATAAATATAATAAATAAATTTATGACTTACCATAGTGGCGTGTGATAAGCACCGTTTGCGAATACACAGTGACTGCAAGATGCTGTGTCATGCATCCGACTTTCACTCTCCGACAGTTGCGATACAACTTGAGTGTACTAGGGAGTGCAATATTTAATGAAAATCGCGGACAGTCCTAATATTATTGGCGTAATATTAATACTGTATTTCCGAATTGATACGACACCATAATCTTCAAGAAAAGATCATATTCTTTTTCAAAAGGCCGGCATCACACCTGCAATGTCTTTTGGTGATCATGGGCGGCGGTAGTTACTTACGAGTAAATAAAACAAATTCTGGTTAGTTACATCATCTATGACTCCGGAACATCAATCTCTGAACAGCCCATTTACCTGATGATCTTTTGAATTCGTCTTCGTCGCAAGCGATAGCAGAATAACTATTGAAATATCGGAAAGATTCACGTAAGGAAATAATAGCGGAAAAAGTATTTTAAAATTTCGGCGATATGAAGTTCGCCGGGTCAGCTAATAATGAAATACGAATTATGTACGTCAAGTATATAATAAAATAAATTAACTTATTTAATTTATGTTGTACAAAAAAAAAGAAGATTTTAATCGTATCAAAATTAGTATGAGACCATGGGAGTAAATGCTATTGTTTGTAAAAATAATTATCATATTGTACTCAGTATTAGAAAAAATTTTGTTTAGCATATATATACGTAAAAAAACCCCGCCTTATTAATAAAATCCGTATTTTTGTAGACGTGTGAAAACATGAATTAAAATATTCCAAATGTTTATTACTTTTTGTTTTAGATAAATATTAATTAATCTAACTGGTACGCTATCATCATTACATAGTATAAAACAAAGTCGCTTCCCGTCTGTCTGTCCCTATGTATGCTTAGATATTTAAAACTACGCAACGGATTTTGATGCGATTTTTTTTAATAGATAGAGTGATTCAAGAGGAAGGTTTATATGTATAATACATGCATAATATTGTAGAGAAACACTGATATACTAAATACTAAATAATTTTATCGTGCTTATAAGTACGTTACGATAATAAAAAATATGTATATATTCGAAATTCTATTCTGTAGTATATTTAGTATCAGCATTGCACCCGTGCGAAGCCGGGGCGGGTCGCTAGTAATCATATAAAGTTTTGTCTCAAGCCAAATATACAGTAAAATTATAGATTTTCGAATATCAAATTGCAATTCTTTATGGATTGTCCTCAATAATATGTGTAATACTGTCACCATAGTTTCCTAATTTCTTAAAAATATTTTATGTATTATTTGTTCCGTACAAAAGGTGAAAATTTCACTTTTTTATTGCAGTCACCCACTATATACTCAAAATCGCTAAGAACAATGTATTAGTCCTTGTGTGCTCATAAATTGTTTGTTTTTTTTTTTTATATACAACTTAGAATGGCAAACATGCTGACGGCCCACCTGATGGAAAGTGGTAACTGTCGCCTATAGACATGAGCAGTACCATGGACATAACAGAGTATACTGTTTCGTCCATGATATCCCCCATGCCTTGCCATTCCTGAGGACTCAGGCGTTATTCCTCTGCACCCTGTAAATTTACTGCCATATCCCACCCTCCAAACCGAAACACAGCCATGCAAATACAACTGCTTGACGATAGAAACACGAATGGGACAGAGGTACCCAAGCAAACGACTTTCTCCTCCCTCTGATAAAATTTATTTACAATATCAACAATTCACTTCGCTGTTACCTTTAAACCTTCGAGCATAGATTACTTAAGTCGTAATAAGTATATCAGATTATGTTTTCTCTGAATTACGCAATTACTCTCGACGGTGACAGTGAACGACCGCATCGGATGACGGTGCGTAGGTACCTACCTGTATTGTGTAATCACTTCGGTTGTCTTCGCCTTTTATCGTTTTTAAATACTTTAATTATTTATTTGTTGCTAATTATTGGTATTTAATACTAGTGATTTTGTCCGGGTTTGCATGGATATTTCAGAATTTTTGTAAGTAATATATGTATATAATCAATTTTAGTCGCTGATAATTTATTTATTTATTTATTTTACACTTTTACAATTGCTCTGAAAACTATCCAAAATTGGAAAATATTAAAAATCAAACTCCATGCCCTTTTGTTAGAAAAATGTATTTACACAATAAATAAATTTTAGAAATATACAAATTTTTCTAAATTTCTGGGATAGCAGACACATGGCTTTGCCCTCGTAAATAAGTATATAAAGTAACTACTATATGTATTTCGTTGTCGAGACTGAAGTCAACAAGGACTACAAATATCAAATCTTATATCCTGCGGTTTCTAGCGAAATTTAAAGAAATGTTCCTGTGTACATAGTTCTGACCAGAATAAATAGTATTTCGCCGCCACTGCTGGCTACAGAAGAAAATATTTCTCAATTATGTAAATTAAAGTGTGAATTTAAAACGTGTGATTGATTCGTGTTAAGATTCTTTTTGAGTTGATGGCAAGTTTTATATCACCATCATTATATCAGCCATTACCTGGCCGCTGCTGAACATAGGCCTCCCCCATAAACTGCTATAAGGAACGGTCCTGAGCCACCTGCATACATTGACACTACAATGCATTTAAGGTCGTCACTCCATTTAGTGTGTGCACCGTGAAGATTTAGGAATCTTCACAGGCCTCACGAGCGACCTCACCGTTCCGAGGATTTCTAAACGTTGATGGGCCACAGCTTCACATTCCAGGATTGCGTGAGCAGCCGTTTCTTCGGCGTCGAAACAGCCTCGACATAGAGGGCTGTCTGTGGCTCCTATTGTGTATAAATGTTTGATTAATGGGCAATGACCCGTTAGTGTCTCTATCATTATTTTAAGGTTTTTCCTATCTAGATGTAATAAACGTTTTGATAGTTTTTGATTTTTTTTATATATATAAGGGTATTTGAAAATCCCAATGCTAGTGGTTTACATCGGGTTAATAGTCGTTGACTCAACGTTGGCACGGCCAATTTTGATTGGGCCGATCTAAATAAATATCCGACCGGTACGGGCGATATCGGAATGGGTGACGACCTCTGCCTCCATCAATATCTAGGGTCATCAATATACGATATTAGCGACTCGGCCCGGTTTCGCACGGGTGCTATGCCTAGGTTCAAGCTAGGGCAAAGCCATGTGTCTGCTATCCCAGAAATTTAGAAAAATTTGTAGATTTCAAAAAATTACAGCTTATCCAAGCTTGGATAATTCTTATAAATGTGAAAGTGTGTTTGTTACCTTGAACTGGTCAAATAAGATGTTTATTCACCTAATTCACACCGACAGGGGGGAGAAGGGATTGTTAGTAATGGAGATTGGTAATCCCCAATGGCAAGGAGGCGACTAAGAGAGGGCGTGGGATGGGCAGCCGCGTCACTCTTAAAGTATCACCAAAGCCTAACTACAATTGCCAACTCACTTGCTAAGCATGGCAACTACTGGCAAACCCCTTACAATAAGAAGAAACCTATGCTCAGCATTGGACAGGTAATCGCTGATATGATGACGGTGATGACCCTGTTATTTCATACCATATCCTCAACATGCTACCTTTTAAAATGGATGCTTCAATAAAACGTACAGAGTATTCAATTACTTTCACAGATTAATACGTTTAAAATTAAACAAACCTAGTTACAGATACTTACTGTACTAATAAATATATGGGCGAGTTAATCTGCTGGACAGACAGACAGACAGTTAATTTTTATGTAGCAGTAAATTAGCGCATTAGCGTGGCCCAATATCGGTAAACAATTACAATTCGTACTGGATACGTGAATTATACACTTGCTACGGTCCAAGTGAAAAGCTTTTTCTTGTTTTTATGATGTTTAAAATGGCAAACAAATTGATGAAAAATGGTAACCGTCGCCTATAGACATGAACAACACCATGGACGTCACAGTATACACCCACAATGCTCCTTATGCGTTGCCACTACTGAGGCCTATGGTTTTATGTAATACTTACATGTTATTTCACTGTCCTATCCTACTCGTCGAACCTAAACACAACCATGCAAGCACACCTGCTTCACGACAGAAATTTATATTTTTTTTTTGTAACTTAGAATGGCAAACAAGCTGACGGCTCACCTGATGGAAAATGGCTTATAAACATGAGCAGTACCATGGACATAACAGAGTATACTATTTCGCCCGTAATATATAATGCGTTGCCATTCCTGAGGACTCAGATGTTATTCTTCTGTACCCTGTAAATTTCCTGCTATATCACACCCTTCAAACCGAAACACAGCCATGCAAACACAACTGCTTCACGATAAAAACACGAATGGGTCAGAGGTGCCCAAGCAAACGACTTTTGTACAGTCTCCCTCTGGTTAATTAATTTATTAAACACTAGCTGTATCCCACAGCTTCGCCGACGCGGATCAGTGTATAAAATAACTTATATGCGTATTTAGGACCTATCTACCCCTGTATCAAATTTCCTTCAAATCCGTATAGTAGTTTTTGCGTTAAAGATTTACATACCTCCATCCATCCAACGTTTACAAACTTTAATAAATATGTACAGGTATATACGTACTAAAACTTATAACAATTTTGTTGAGCCATTAAAGCACCAAGAGATAACAAGTAACTAACAAACTCACTTTCATATTTATAAAATTACTGGCTGATAAACTTTGTTTTGCACCCTACCGCCATCTACGGAGTCCATTTTAGAGTCACAGCGCAAAATTTTTTTTTCAATGGATGATAATGGAATAGTAACCCCACCCGTGCTATCGGTATACACCGGCGGGGCACCAGTGAAGGATGATAGGTGAAGATGAAGTAGGTCAGTTAGCCCATTGTGACGAATTCAACAAGAATTATTCACGATGGTTTCCAGGGGGAACCACGTGGAGGTCGACCTAATAAGGTATATTGCTAGCAATGGGGCTGTCAAATTCCATTGCTAACAATCCATTTCCCCCCCACAGCGCTATATTACCTTGTCGGTCATATAAAATATGATCCTGCATAATACAACCTTAGATTATATAGATAGAGCATCGAGCCTCAAAAATGGGTCAACTTTTTTTTTAGCACTTTGACAATTAACTGAC